ACTCGACGCAGTTGTGTTCCTTAATTACTGGGTTCCTATGGCCACATTCCAGCTCTGTCATCAGACCCTGGTTACCATCTAGCACTAAAGAACTCATGACGAATCAAACGAGCCGAGACACAATAGGGTTGCGTCGTTTGTTTACTGAGTACATGACTATCTTCCAGCTCCATCAACAGATCAGACCTGGTAATATCTAAAAATTAAGTACTCGCCATGACGAATCAAACGAGCCGAAACTCGATGGGGTTCAGTCGTTTCATTACAGAGTGATCATAGGAACCTCACAGAATAGACCTCACAGAAGATCGGCATAAATTACTTCTGCGTTTTGTCTGGTGAGTGAGGTAGCCGGAGCACACTTTATTGTAAGGAGAAAACGCATCTGCAACCCTATGCATATGTCCATGGACGGCTGAAGATGGAGCTCCATCATAAGATCCTGGTTACCTATGAAATTAATTAATTTATTTATTTGTTTATTTATCTAAGTGAAAGACAAACTACTCGTCAATACGATACCCGATATACCCGAACGCGATGAGGCTCTGATTTTCTGCCGATTTACACATGGATACAAAATTTCAGCTCAACCGATAACCGGGAAGTAGATCAAATTTAATTTGCAAGTTTTGATGACAAACATTAAAATTTTGTAAAAATGTTCATAAAATGAAAACTACTTGGCCAAACTATGGTAAATTTTTATGGGACAAAATGGCAACTATTCTACATCAAACTAAAGAAGAATCACGTAAATCGGATCATAAATCTCAACGTAATCGGTGTACTTACATCGAAAAACAATATACCAATCGAATTGAGAAACTCCTCCTTTTGAAGTCGGTTAAAAATATTATGTTAATTTAAATTAATATTGAAGGTACTTACATAAAATCTATATTGTGGCAAAAAATATATAAAAAATATTATGTTTAACAATTTTAATTAGTGGTCCACCTAGGTCCTGGACCCAGCCCAGGGGGGGTCATGACCCCCATGACCCCCGCCCCCCCCCCCCCCCTGGATCCGCCCTTGACTATTAAACAGGCTAAAAGAGCACGTATTTTCCAACGGCCTTCTGCAGGCGGAACAATTCGGCTTTCGGGCGAGTCATTCCTGTCCCGACCAATTATACCGCCAAACCGAACACATCCTGAAAGGCTTAAATCATCCGAAACATATTAGCAAGGATGCTCGTTTCTTCGATGTCGCAAAGGCATTCGACAAGGTCTGACACAACGTCTTGCTTTAGAAGCTGTTCACACTCAAAGTGCCAGATAGGCTCGTACACACCATCCGGGCCTTCCTGCCGAACCGATCATTTTGTTATCAAGTTGAGGGCACCCTCTCCACAAGCCGCCTCACGGCTGGCGGTCCACAAGGCTCCTGCCTCTCACACTTACTCTTTACGCTCTACACGAGCGTACCAAAGACCCCCACGTAAACACGTCTTGCGCTTTTCGCGGATGACACGGCGCTCTTTTATACAGATAAAAATCTCAATCAACTCACTACTCTTCTCCAAAGCGCTGCCGACCGCCTCGGCGATTGGTTCCGAAAATGGAGAATAGACATAAATCCCGAAAAGATTGTGGCGATTTACTTCACACGAAGTACTTACCCGTCACATCTTTATAAAAGCCCTCGCCAATGCAGAAAGTTGTGGCAAATATCCCTTTATGGCCAACCGCTCCCTTGGGAGAAAAAGGTCAAATAATTAGGAGTCAATTTCGACTCGCATATGTCATTTACTACGCACATTAAAAACATTCGTAATAGAGCCGCGTTCGTTTCCGGCCGGCTACACAATTTAGCTAACGCTAAAAGTAAAATGCCCTTAAAGCACACTACTCGCTTGTACAAGTTGCAAATAGTACAAAATAAGTTCATCCGCCGCGCAACCGGTGCGCAGTGGTATCAACGCAACGTCGTCCTGCACAGCGATTGCAGACTCCCGACGATTCGCGAATATTTTAAGGACCTGACCAAACGGTTCTTCGATAGAGCCGAACATCTTCCCAACCCACGGTGGTACGCGCAGTAAATTACCAACCCGACACAAACGCGAACGTCAAGAAACGTTGCCCGCGAAACGTCCTCATCGACCCGGTCGAGGAAGGGGACTAAGATACGTCGGATGATAACACTACACCCACAGCTAGTGATTTCCCGTAGTCCACAATAGATGTACCAGGCTACATTTGAATCTTAATATGTGTTCGTTTGATCATCGTTCGTTTGAATAGAGTACGATACATTTTATTTCCAATAATTAATTGTTTCCGCGAAACGATCGTGATCAGTAACAAAAATAGGAATAGATCCCTAGATCAGATTTAATCTGTCCAGTTGTGATGTTCCTATTACATCTGTGGAGTGGGCAAGGGGATGGGCGAGTAAAAAATATACCGATAATTATCGTATCGACATTTTGAAAAAATATCGATAATTATCGAGGAAAAAATATCGTTACATTGATATATCGTCAGGTTTCACATAATTATTCATACATATTTACAAACAATTCAAAATTCGTAAAAAAATAATAGACATGAAAAAAGGATTTTTTTTTTAATTTTTATGTGATAAAGTGGCAAACGAGCTGGCGGTTCATCTGATGTTAAGAGATAACCGCCACCTATGAACATTTGCATCACCCCTAGGGTTGTACATGCTTTGCCACCTATGAGTAAAGTGGGCCCCAGCTACCTCACTCACCATACGAAACGCAAAAGTGTAATACTTCTACTTTACGGAGGTCTTCTGTGAGGTGCATCAATTAAAACTATTGTGTGGCCCTACCACAGTTAAATAGTTGAAGATGTTTTAAAGTTAACGATGCGCGAGGAGCATGAAAAGAGTATCTAGTAACATTAAACACGAACCAGAGTTGCGTTAAAAAATATATCGAAATTGACAAGAATTCTAAAAAATATCGTCAATATATATCGATAATTGTATGGAAATATATCGATTTTTTTATATATCTAAATTTTTTGCCCATGCCTAGTGTGACATAGGTTTCATAACCCTTCCACTCAGCTGTTGTGAAAAATACTTTTATATATATAATAAGCCCTTGTATTTGGTAACTGTTTATTAATTATATAAAATGATGTGGAGAAATGGTACCTTAAAAATTATATTATTTTACTGTTTTTACAGGACGAATATCAAACCATGGCTGCTTTGATTAAGCTCCGTCATATCCCAGTAGTGCAGAGATGTGTTTGGAATCATTATAGTAAATTAAATCGTACAATTTCTACATCAAAAAAGAATAGCGAGTCAGCATCTGCTACGTGTGATACACCAAAGGAAGATAAAAATTGGGTTAGCTATGGGTTTGATTACACTAGCAAAGAGGAAGATACCAATGTTCATAATGCAAGTTTTTTTTTGTCAGTTACCTTGTGTTTAGTATTCGGGGGTTTTGCATGGGCGTATAGTCCCGATGTACATATGAGAGATTGGGCCCAACGTGAAGCATATTTGGAGTTGCGACGTCGAGAAAAAGCTGGATTACCACCAATTAGTCCTAATTACATAGACCCGAAACTTGTCAAGCTGCCTTCCGAGGAGGAACTTCAAGATGTTGAGATTATAATTTAATTGTTGGTGTAACCATTATTTATTTAGCGAACTTAAATAGAAGTAACTGGTGGAAAAGTGTATTATTTCTTTTTATTTGGAAATCAAACTTATTTCTGTAGACTTACTATGACCTAACTAGTCAAAACAGAATTATATTTCACAGTAAATAAATCGTTTTTATCCAGCCTTTAATTTTAACAAATACAATTATGAAGAAATGCAATCCAATAATATTCATTAATTTTATCATGAATTCATGTGAGAAAAATTTAAAAAGTTGCTAAACCTTTCTGTAATATGATCATAATTCTTTTTATTCAAATATATCTTATTCATTTATTATCTTTGTTTTTAACAATATTGGATTTAAAATAATAATTGCAAATCCTGTTGCTGAGTATTAATAAAAAGTTTATTAAAGGGATTTATGTTGGTGACTCAGTGGATCAGTTGCCAAAGTATTTACTTCGGAGTTGGTGGTCGTTGATTCCCATTCAGGACAACTATGTGACAGATAATTGTTTTGTATCTGGGTGTTTATCCATGTAAAGTTAATGTTTGTAAAACATTCTTATAACAAAGGATTATGTTATCCTAAAGAAAGAGAAATGTTTATAAAAAAAGCCATATTGCCTTTGAAATTTCAGTATGTGAATATTCATTGAATACTCTTACGAATTTTTTTAAAATAAAACAAGTAAATTCTGTTAGTATAGCTTTAATTTAAAATGAGAAATATTTGCATCAAATAAATTTTCATAAAATTATAGAATTGAGTCTGATTAATAACAGCTATTTCATTGACTACATTTTTCAATTCTTTTATTTTTATTTTATAGAATATCGAGAAATGGCTTCTCATGCATATGTATTTGGTAATAAAGGTTGATTTGGAAATAAAGGTTGCCTGGAAGAAATTACTCTTAGTAATAAGGCTACCCATTGTACCCATCACTTCTACATTAAGTTTTAATTTATGTTTGTTTTATTTTTGGTGTGCAATAAAGTATATTCATTCATTCATTCATATTTGCTGTGTTCATAGTTAGGATTTAATTATTGATTTTATTTTCGTGCACTTCCTGTAGAGAATTTCATAGAGAGTAATCTTGTGGGATTCAATGGCAAAGAGATTGATCCAATCTTAAAATTAGGGAAATAAAAATTCCTTATAATGGAATATTTTTTTATTAATTTAAGTAGTCAAGTTATTAGTCAATTAAGAAATAAAATACACATGTGATACTCTAATCACATGTAAGTCATGTGACTAGATGGGAAGAGAAGAGTGATGAATATGAATGGTTGGATTGGTGGTGGTATTTTCTTATACAATTTAATAAGTAGGAATAAACAATACAAACAATTTCTTTGCATACCATAAAATAATTTGCAAATATTTATGTCACCTTAACACATATTACTTTTCCACCAGCTAGCAATATATATGCAGTACAAGGAGAAGAAGCATAAAGAGCGTTTATACAAGCACCAAGGTTTATTTCCCCTGCAGCTTGAAGTTGGTCACCTTCAATTTTCCATCGCCGAACACAGCCGTCCCATCCACCAGTCCAAGCAAAGTTTTCATTTACTGATAAACTTGTTAATATCATGTCACTTACCTGTAAATAAAAGCATAAAATTTACTATAATATGAAAAGATAGCTATGCTCACTCAATTTTAATCTTATTCTGATTCATGTTTATTTTATATTTAACTAGCGGCCCGCGCAAGGCTACGCATGGGTATTTAACAAAAATTTTAAATTAAAAATTATCATACACACAAAACCTTCCCAATATTTCGTCTTGGGTGAATAAGTTTATGAATTTCTTCATCTTTAAATGAAATGCCCTTGAAATTACGGCATGACGATCGAAAGACCGCTGACCAGATAATAATTCCAGTTTAAGGGTTGTTCGGGGTTACATGTAAAGTAAAGTAACAGCCTATATATGTCCCACTGCTGGGCAAAGGCCTCCTCTATACAGAAGGTATTAGGGCATAGTCCACCACGCGGCCCCACTGCGGATTGGCGTACTTCACATATCTTCGAAATATATTTTTTTTATTATTATTTCGAAAATATGCAGGTTTCCTCACGATGTTTTCCCTCACCGCGGAGCATGTGATATGTTAGCACTTAAAGTCAAAAACTTCATTGGTGCCGGCACCGGGGATCGAACTCAGGTTGCTCGAGTATATTGAATTAAAGGCGAGCGCCCGGACACTGTGCTATCGCGGCTCTTTACATGTAAAAGTGACAAATAAGTCTGGTCTCCCATAGTTCATCTTGGGTTTTTTTCTAATACAGAGAACCTGTGAATAAAGATTACGCGTTGACCGATATTTGATGGGTCAACGTTTGCGTCTTCATTTAAAGCGTCTCCTAAGATAAATGTATTCATCAGCCTCTGATGATTACGACATATTTAATTCAATCTTTCTGATATCATTTTTGCCATCATAATGACTAAATAAGTCCCTGTAATAATGCAATAGATTAAAACAGGTAGCTCTCTCCAACCTAAATGCATAAAATGGCTAATAGTCTCGGGACTGAAAGCAAAAACATCAGTTAATACAAGCATAAAATGGCATGCATGTCTTGCTTTGTTACGCTCTGTACCTCTCTGAGAAAAGTCAAATAATAACCGTCGTCTCCCATTACGAGCATTAAGGGATATTGTAGTGGATCATATGATTGGTGTAACTCGGAGACCCTTTCAAATTGGTCGTGTCTACCGTGCAACACTATATCAAACAAAGAAACAATCAAACCTTTCCTCTTTATAATAGTATTATAGTATAGATATTGCAATGTATTTGACACAAAAGTAAAGTTAAATTCGTTGTATTATTAGACCAAAATCTTTGCAGCGAGAATTTATACATAACATTATAAAAAACAACAATATAAAAAATTGCTTTAGATTACTTTGACCAATGGTTTTACTTTCAGTTTCACTATTAAAACGAACTTATTATTATCGAACGCTGAACTCGTGAGATAACTATATTCGACGAGCTTGAGTACCACAGCCCTCCTCGATGACTAGGAACGCGCATGTGTTCATGCGCGCGTTAACTCATGGGAGGGAATGTCACCTGTGGGGCGTTATACGGGTTCTGATCTAATTAGTTATGCTCCAGGTCTAGGTATAGTGAAGCCTACGGAATGAGATTGGCGGGGTAGATAAGGAAGATGCGCGGGCGACGCTTGTTAACGGTCAGGTTTATATCGTGTTGGTAATTTTACCAGAGCGAAAAGAACAAAGGGGAAAGGCCTTGATGAACGCTTGCCTGGAGGGGGACACTCGTAGAGAGTGCCCTCTACTCGTACGTGGCAAGAACTATTTGACAGGAACGTTCGTATCGCACGAAGTAATTAAGTGCGAATAGTTTCTAAAGCAAGCCGTTGAGCCAGATTTTGCCTGCCTGCAACATCGAAGAAGAGTGCTACCGTAGTAATGTGTTTGAGGTGATCGAGATCTTTCAGGATTCAGGCGGTAGGTCTGTTTGACGTGGGTATTTTATTGCAATTACTAAGCTATAGGAGTCGAACCGCATTTTGTAAATGCGTTTTCTATCCACGGTGAAGTATTTGTAATGCTTATCACTATTCCAGATCAATCCAATCTCGCGACAAGTTGCGAAGAATGGAAAGCACTTAATTTGTACGTTATAAAAGTAAGAAAAATTATACCTTATACCTATCATACCTTAACTTCGTGCAACTTTTTGAACTTATTGTCAATAGAGGAGTCGTGAAGCTGCAAGTTATTGCCACCTCTGGCTGTTACAACAAGCCGAGCACCGGCCACGCGCAGTGGTGCTCGACCTTCCATGGTATGCCGAGTCATAAAGCGATTTTTAGATTCATCTAGAAATTAAAAAGGTTTATAATTGGAAACAACTTTACATTTTGCCACGGTTTTATGTACCTTTTTACACATTTTTAAAAACCTAAATTGCAGATTGTCCTTTCTGAATATCTTTTTACTTTACCTTGCGATTTCATAAAAACTAAATAAATTTATGTACCTGGTTTAATCTCTGTGACGGTCACATATAAATCTCGCGCAGTAAACATATATGGTGGTTTAAAACCAATGTCTTTCACTTCTTCCAGAACGTTGTATTTGGCCTTTTCTGTATTATTTTCATAAAAAACAACCTGTAAATAGTAGTAGTTTAAGCTAATATTACAACTTGAATGGCCGCTTTTGGGTAATTGAATAATAAATACTTGTATTTTAAGTTAAAAAAACAATCTATCGATAATATCTTTGAAATCATATTAAATTGCTGAAAAATTTATTCACCACTTGTTCAAGTGTCCCTGGGATATTTTTTCAATTTTCTTATTAAGTTTAACATGTCGAAAACGTCGTAAAAAAATTAACAAAAAAAATATTTTTGAGCACTTTTTTACACAACATTCTCTAGTCCCAAACTAAGCAAAGCTTGTACTAGAAAACTGATAAACATACTTAAACATAATTTTCTTTTATAAATAAATACATATTATACATATAAAAACACTCAGACACTAGAAAAACACTATGTTCATCACACAATATTTTTCCGAACCCACAGCCTCTCACGCAGGAGGCAGGTACACTACCCACAACGCCATTCAGGTCGTCAATTCTTACAATTGATCATATATTGAAGTACACAATACAGTAACTTGACTTAACCCTTAACTTTGTATAATTAACATAGTACCGCTGCCATAGTAGTAGGTACCTAATCTCGACAATTATTTGAGATAAATTTTTCAGTTTTTTTTACCATGGCTGTGGTTATATTAAAACAGTATGTTGTTTTATTATTTATATAATTTTGTTGTTAAGGTTGACTGACACATTAGATGAATATTGCATAATTTTCTGTTTAATTTTTGAAAAGTTTTGCTTTGAAAAATCACTTACGTTACCACTTTCATCGCCGGCAATTAATTGATTTTCATGCACATGTAAAGCACCGATGTCGCCTCCAGTGGGTGGATATTCAGTCACTTTATCGCCACTCGCAGTCCAAACTCTGACTCCACCATCGATTGACGAAGAATAAACATTACCTTTAGCTGCAGTTAAAGCAAAAACTTGCGTCTCATGTGCCGGCCATTTCGACCCAGGCTTAAGGTTTGCGTCAAACGTCTGACGACAGAAACATAATTAAAATGTATGATATCCTAGTGTTCTGGGCCTAAGTTGTTTCTATATAATGATTTCCAGCCACGTTCAAGTACAATTAGTTGAAAGTGCATTCTTCTTTAAGTTGGCTATAATTAAAAAGGGTTTAGTTAAAAAGGATTTGAAATACAAATTATGTATGTAGGTACACTTAACATGCATGTGGCACAGACGTGAAGCGCTAAAAATAATACTCTTATATATAAGATGTGCTCGAAATAAACAAACTGAGATTTTAATGAACATGATGAAGCAATCACACATATACGTATACATTCTTGCGATTTTTCGCTGACTATGAAGAATATTTCGTTATTTGAGATAAATAGGTAGAAGGCAATATGTAAATATTTTTGCATATAAGTGCTGAATGATTTAAATCCAAAATAAATATAATGCCAAGTTTTACGAAGAAATCAACATACTAAACAATAACAATTGAAATAACAATTGAAAACAATATAGTTTTCAACACCTGTCTTTTATAGTATAAAGACAGGTGTTGAAAACTCGCAACTTTTTTTTGACTGATTTGTAATAAAGAATAATAGCGCAATTTTAATATTTCTAAATCAAAGATAGAAAAGCAGATGGAAAATCATATGATTAACATATACACTTATGACCGATGATCTTTATGATTTATTCTCTAAAACTTTGTATCAAAATTTTATTAAATGTAAACATACACAGTCAAACATTTTAAACAACAATGAAAAAATGCATAAGGTTAAAAAAGCCCCATTAAATTTAAAGCAAAACCTTATTTTTTTAGTCACAAAAGTAAATAATAAGACTTACAATAATAGAGCCAGATTCTGTTCCAACAAATAACATGTTATCCCAAGCTATTACACATGGTTCTGATTCAATAATAGCCTCAGCTTCTATTTTAAGTGCACTCATTTTCTTCAATATGTATTCAGATATAAAAATCAAAAAACGGAATGTGCAATCAGTTAGGTGCTAGTGGGAGAAACAGTGCTTGTAACGGAGGCAAGAATTATACTGGGACCGAAATAGACAGTCACTGGCGCTGTTTTCATAACATGAGTAACGAAGAAACGTCTAGATACATCTGGAATTATTCATATAAATAGATAATTCTAAATATATTTATACTTAGTATTATGTATTATTAATATGAATGCTACTTATATTATTTGAAATTACACCTATTATTAATACAAAATAAAAAACATATTAGAGGGCATTGCAGCTGTGTTAGGGCCAAGCAATAGCTTCTGCTGTTGCATCAATGGGAATGCTCGTCCGGGGAATTACCACGGCCTCAGAGAAGACCGGCGTGTAGGGGAAGTATTAAACTTTCTGATTTCGTCTGGTGAGTGACTTTAAACTGGGACCCACATTTTTAAAGGTTGTCGATGCATCAGAAAGCCATCATGTATTGTAGATGTCCATGGGCGGCGGTATTCATTTACCATCAGCTCAACCGCCTACTCGCTTGACAACTTTTTCAATAAAAAATATAAATTAATGATTCTATCATCAATTTTAAAAGGATGACAAAACGATAAAATTTTATTTTATTTATCAGTACCTATATGATTTGACAGTCTTTGCGGTTGTTATATCTCGTTACACAGTCTTTAAATGAGACCTATAAAACATCAGGAAAAACAGTAATACAACACAACCTGACTAGACTTATGCTTTGTATAAAAGGTAAAAGATATCTACTTCCAATACCATAGCATAGTTCTGCCTTAACTTTCGCCCAATAATACTCACTTCGTTTTAAAATCAACTTATTTTAAACCTGCAATATTATGTACCTAGTTCTATGTTTTTAATTTGTTCATTCGAAATTTCCACGTGGAATTGAATCGTTAGGGTATAATGCGGGGTACCCTTTTAACCCAGGTATTACAAATTCATCGACCACCCTTTATTGACATTGCAAATAGTTGCACAATGGAAACGAAGTTTGTGTGCCTAGATTGTAACATTTCGTAAAGAATTAAAAAAAACTACCACTATTTTTGTACAGATATAGGAACATTGTGTAGACTTTGATTAGGACTATTTTTTTTTTTTTTTTTTTTTTTTTTTATGCGAAAAGTTGTCAAACGAGCAGACGGTTCACCTGATGTTAAGTGAATACCCGCCGCCCATGGACATCTGCTACACTCGAGGGTTACAGATGCGTTGACAACCTTTTGAAAATTGGGCTCCGGCTACCTCACTCACCAGACGAAACGCGAAAGTATTTGTCATACTTCCACTTTGCTCGGGTCTTCTGTGAGGTCGTGGTACTTACCCGGACGGGCCTGCCCATTCGTGCAACAGCCGAGACTGCTGCGTGGCCCTACCACCTTTAAACTCAACTTATAAAAAAGACCTTATTGGACTTGATTTTTTAATTGCTATTGCTCATTAATACTCATGATTTCTTTAAAGGCTCTATTAAAAGCTCCTTCAATTGGTTTTTACACTATCAGCGTGCCAGCCACGTTATTTTTTTTAATAATAAATAACACATCATTTAATCATCATAACATTGTACTATTTCTGTGTAGATTTGAAATTTAAGCTTATAGTCGCAAAATAGGGAGAGTTGAGTTTCTACTTAAACGTAAGGGAAGCAGCAACAAATAATACGAGGTAATAATTTATCACCGGACGTCATCAACGACACGCACTCTTCGAATTAGTATTACAAATCTTACATATTATGGAGGCGAAATTGTCATTACATAATCTAATTAACCATATTTCAAAACAACTGAGGTATGTGTTACAACTAACGGAGCTAGGAAAAACAAATTCTGAACGGTAAACCTGTAATATCAGGCCTAGTTACTGTTTAGTTACTATGAAAGTATTCCAAAACATATGAAAGTTCCCTCGAAATTTTATTTCTTTAAAATTCATTTATTTTAGGTTAACTAGGTTTTAGGTTAACTTTAAATAGGAAACATATTAGGTGAAAGTTGTATATAAGAAATGCCGCGCATAATTGTGCCGTGAGACATTTCTTGTGATTATGCCTGCGATCAACTAAGGGCATGGTCACATAATTATACAGCGGAACCGGGCAATTTAGTGTTCGCATTTGTAAACATATTATTCTTTTAATGACCTTCTATTGAAAAAAGTGAGTAACTTATAAAATATATAATATATGTTATAGTTTATATATTTTATGTGAATGTGAAAAGTGATGCCTAAATACTTTCGATATTTAACTTACAGGAAGAAAAAACCGGTTCACTATTTTGTAACTTTCATCTGCCCTGGAGTACTTAGGTACTTTTACTTTTAATCACCGATGTAAGTTTTGTAATACTAAACTCCATATAAAATATCTAACATGCTTTTACATCAATGAACCAATGCTATATAAATTCGATTTTAGACTAAGTCAACACACTCAAGTGCATCAAGCATGGAAACGTTATGTAAATAAATAATAAAAAGTACCCGGATGACCGAGCTTCACTTGGTTTTATTTCTAACAAAAGAATGAACTTGGAAAAAAAAACAGGGAAAAATAAACAAAAACCCATCTGGTTTCTAACCAGGGTCTTCTGGTTTCGGGACCGTCAGATTTCCCACCTGAGCTATTATATAACCTTGTTAAAGGTGGCAAAATCTACCTACGTATTCTAATGATATTGTATCAGTTTTTCATAGTCTGAAAACACGGATAAAACGACGTTTTCTAAAAATAAAACCTAGTTAGATAAATTTATCGCCCCGAATCCTCTGTATACTAAATTTCATGAAAATTGTTTCCGAGATTCAGATTACCTATATACAGGATGTGCCAAAATTCAACCATAGTTGGGATTCCAGTTTGTACCAACGGGATTCCAGTTTGTAGGAAGGAAATCGAAGGAGCATCTTTGTAAAGAATCATATCTACGTGGAAATAAACATACTCTACTAAAATAATAAACTTTTTTATTAGTTTTTATTAACATAATATTCTTGGAAAATGAAACCAAAAAACCATAAAAATAAATTTAAATTGTGTATAGTGCTAATCTCTGCACTTAAGATTAAACATTAAAATTTGTAGAAAAAGTACGAAAAGATTGTCACCGTTGTGGGAATCGAATCCATCTTCATATCGAATCCGTCTTCAGCATTCGCGGCCTGACGCGTTAGCCACTAAGCTTAACGGCTGATTGCCACATCGAATATCATTTTACATAATTCGAACGAGCTAAAGAAAATCCAGAAAAAAAATCCCCGAAATATCCTTCTGTACAGGGGCCTTTGCCCATCAGGGGGACATATATAGGCTGTTTGTTACTTTACTTTTACTATGCTATAAAACAACAAAGCGAAATAAAAAAAAGCCAAGACAATCAGCGTAGTCTGTCTACATTTTTCGAATTTACGTAACTAAGATGTTATGAACGTATGTGTATTATATTTAAGTAACATCTTAAAGTTATATATTAATATACGCACCGTTTTTTTATACAAATTCGGACTAAACACACACTACAGTAATACAGCCTACAGACAACTGAAGAAACGAAACTTTAAAACTTACGCAACGTAAGGTATGTTGCTTAACAATTGTTATCATTCCAAATCATATTCACATGTTTTCGCTTTTAGCGCTTCTGGAAATAGTTCTCCGTCCCTGTCACCAGTTAACACTTTATGCAGCGACTGAAAAATATTAATTATGTAGTACTGAACATCGTTTAGAATTCTTTTATAATTTTTAAATCGCTTCAACATAGAATAAGTAATGATTTCTTGTGTTTACGCGAATAATACTCGTGTTGCAGTCGGTCACGTGAGTGTGGGCTTGATTGAAAATTAGTTTTATTTGACAACAAAAGAAAAATTCTTCAAAATTGCCTAAATAGTACTGATTATAACACACCCACACACACATTATAACAACCGTTTGTGCAAAGCTGTATTCATCAACTTTGTCAGTCAATTACAAACTACATATACCATTTTTAACAAATTTTGCGTGAATGTCGTTGGCGTCTCGTCAAAAACCCAAAAAAATAATAAAATTGGGAATTATAAAAATAAGTAATTACAATTTTTAATTAAAAAAATTTAATGATATAAAAATATATTTACAAGGTCATCAATTTGATGAAAGATAATATTTATTAAAAAAAGCAAATCGTTAATTGGCGTCGCGCCATCATTTTACTCCTTTGTCCAATTGCCCACTTTATATCGTTTGTATGAATACTGTCTTATTAATTAAAGTATAGAGTAACATTCAAAAAGTCATTTGAATTATTCACAGTATTTTCAATACTCGTCATCTATGAGAGTTTAACTTTTTCTACAGAAAAACATCCGAAGGGGGCAAATTAGCACGAGCCTGTCAGTTTTCACTTCAATATGAACTGCCGCCCGAAGGTGCTCCGTACTCCGACGATGGGGCGGAGGCAGGTGATCCGTATTCTGGTGCCGGAGGCTTTGCTGCTGGATAGCCCTCTTGTTTCTGCAAAAAGAGTGTCATTATTTGAATTGCCAGCAAGACCATTCATTGCGGTAACAAAGTTACGATTCCTTCGACAATTCTAAATAAAACGTCATATGCAATAACATTATTACTGCAATAACATTATTATTATGTACTTAAAGGGGGACATTTTCAACAGAACGTATTTTTTTAACAAAATAGTGACTTTTAAATAGCTTGTTTTGAAAAAATCTTATTTTCTGTTTTATACGATTAAGTCAAAGATTTCTTCAGTTCAATGAACCAAAAATATTTAAATGTTTTTGTTTTAAGAGTTATATAAAAAATTATTAAAACAAATATATGTTGAATGTACTTGTAACTATATTTTTTCATAATTGTTATGCAAATTACTGACATTATATCGTACTTACGTTTCATAGAGATTTGGAATAGTGTGCAATTATAATGCTATTTGCATGAAGCATCTTTGATGCTAAATGTAGTACTATGCAATAATGACTAGAAAGTGGAGACATGTAGCCTATTGTTTTGGTAACCATTTCATAATTTTATTATGAAAACATTTTGATACATTCCAATAATAGTTTGGTCATATTCAACTAATGTCATATCGAAATATATATTATGAAGAAATTAATTTGTGCTTTCTTTAAATAAAAAATATTAATAAAAACATTTTTAATATAAACCTGTTGGACCTTTAATATCAAAATTGCCATTGAACTACTTAATAAATTGAGGTCATTGTCACACAATACATTTAGATTGTCCTACCGAAAACAACAGATTAACACCTTTGGAGTAATTTATTTTATTATATGACTGCAGTAGAAATGTTCTGCTGAGTGATGTATTGATGACTATTTCCTAAAGAGCTCCGACGTTATTAATTTTTTCTCACAGTCTACGACCGATTTATATACAGACAGACCTATTTGACTTTAACTATTACCACAATTTATCGTAATTCAATACCACATCCATGTATGATTAAGCGTCACTTATATCGTATACACTGATGAAAAATTACTTATATCAAAATTAAAATAATGATAAAGATATTCATTAAAGGTCGTATATACGAAAATCAATATTGAAGAAATCAAAACAAAGGTACCCTTTTTAAGTTACCGTTAAATAAAAAAGATCTTACCTGTGTCTTGTATCTGATGAAGTAAACCTCAGGCTTGGCGGGTTGCGTGGGGGCTGGTGTTGGGATCACAATATCAGGCTGATCCTCAGGCTTTTTCACTAAGACATAGACGAGAGTCTTCTCTTCATTTTGCGGTTGGAGAGGGATGACAGGAGCAGTCGGGGTCGGTGGGGTAGGCGCCTTGATGAAAACTATCTTGTAGTGCTTCTGTGGGGGAGGCACGTAGATCTGTTTCGGTGGGGGAGGTATCTCATTATCGGGGGGTGGCACGTGCACATACACATGTTTGTGAACAATGGGCCGTTGAGGTGGACCATATTGTGGGGCTGGCGGGCCGTACGACGACGACGGCGATCCGTAGGACGTTGAAGGGGGTCCATATGATGATGGCGGCTCCGGGCGTGCAACGACACACGCGAGCACCGCCGCTATCGCCAATGACTTGAGAACCTGCGAACATTAGGCTCGTTATAAAAAAATCAAATTGCGCTTCGATATCAGATCACTAATTCTTGAGCTATGATGAAGGCACGATTAGCAACTCTTCAGCAAACATACCGATTTATCACACATCCTGTTGACGCGTTGAGTCGCAACCTAAGACAGTGCAGTGTCTAGCGATCAGGTGGCACCAGTGTTTATAAGAGATGCTCACTGTACGTATCCTCGGGAGGGGGTACTTTCGATGGCTCTCATACCTTGCGTAATACGATGGTGCTCACGCGCTGCCCTCCTACCTACAGCCGCATAGAGCAGCGGCTGATATTCGGGGGCAGCTATTCAACTTTCAACTCGTGCGTAATTTAAGACTCCGCATTTTGTTATTCCAAACAGTCACTTTGTAACAATCAAAAAATGACATCTGTTATGGTATTTTATTCATACAATTTCTTTATTATAATTATATTATTATTATTGTGTTTGCAAAATTTGAATTAGTACATATTTTTCTGTAAATATTAATTAGTAGTAAACGATAGACGTAAAAAAATTAAATAAAAAAAAAGTGGAGTTAATAATATACTTATACAATCTGTAGAAATTTCAAGCTAATAAATATATACGCAATATCTAAACTAAGTAGATAAACGATTATAAAATGATATTATGATGTAAATTTGAAAACAATAAAATTAGAACAAGACATTTAATTAATTACTTCAAAGTTCTCTGACAAGATTAATTTTACTTTTTATATATTTATACAGATATTTTTTCCATGAAGGTAGATCATAAATCAACACCAAAATACCCACCACGTTCTATTTAGATAAAGGATACGTCAACACGCAAATGTTTAATGATTAAGTACTGCATTAATACTCGTACCTACGATTGATTTCAAAGTTGACCAATCATCGAGATGCAAGTTAACTTCATAGAATCTCATTTATCGTAGCGATTCAAATGTAATATTCCGGACAGCCGTAAAAAGTACTCATATTTTCTCTGTGTATAGAACAATGTGTAATTTATTAAATTTTTTTACAGAAAAGTAAAATAACAGTGAAATCATAATTATTCCTCATTAAATATATTCAAAGTTAAGTTTACCGATTGCACAACTCTTTGGCATAACTAATCTCAATGTGTATGGTGTTCTTATTGCACCTTATCGATGTTTATAAAACTCACAGCAGTAAGTTCAATCATCATAGCAGTTGAATATTTGTGCGTAAAATACAGTATTAGACTTTGCATACTTTGAGCTGTGTACTAAAATCTAAAACAGTGCAAACGAATAATCCGTTCGTCCGAACACGTCATTAACTAGCAGCATCTACGTTTTTCTTAATTACAATTTATTGGTGTACACACTCAATATGCCAGTGAGTTGACTTTAGCTCACGGAACGGTCGGAGGCGAGACTCCGGTATCAATCACAAGTTCACATCCTCCCATCCCTGGAGGACATGTAAACATAGGCAGGCTCCAAAATTGTGTAAAATAGACCAATTGACAAAAATATATCTTCAAAAATGGACATAAAAATATATAGTAGGTCCCCATTCTTGAGGGTTCATAGTAAAGTTAAGGTAAGTGATAAACATATTTCTAGTTAAAAATGCTTAGGATAAACGCCTCGTGTGTGTGTGTGTGTACATTTCATTTTATTATTTAAATAATTTAAATTCTTGAATATCAATTTAATGTTTTTGCAATAAGTAAGACCTTAGTAGAAACTTTGTAATAAAAAAATTGTCATAGATTGGTTTATACCTCGCATAATAAATTTATCGTCAATATTTATAAGATGCTACCACAAGTTTTAAACCTAAAAAAAATAAAGACATGTTTTCTTATTTATGTTCTTCAAAAATTCGCATATGTTAATAAATATAAAACTCATCCTTAAAAAATAATTACATCAATCTTTAAATACACACTCTTTAATACGCACAAGGTGCTCATTTTTTTCTTAGATTTTAAGAATCGAATAAACTAAATCTTCTTTTCATTTATAATGATTGCAAAGCTTGTACCGGACCAATATTTTCGTAATAGATGTTCGACATAAACACGCTTTGCCTCGCAATATGTGATGGGCACGGAATTTTTTTTGCTAGCCTGACTTTCGGTTAATAATTAGCCGCATCACGAAACATCATTTCAGGTGTGGCTTTGGCTTTTCGAGAATATAATAAATACATAACTAGCTCTTAAAAAGTAAGTGTTTTAACTATTTTGTTCCAAATTAAAAATTAAAACCCAGAATGTTTTAATAAAATAACTAATGAGGAAAATACAAACATTTATATGGAGGTTGACTTTTGAAGGCATTGGGCATTATTGTCTGCTGTAAGATTACTGAAAATTTATGTTACATTGACTTACGTTGACGCTAGTAATAAAGTAATATTGGTCTGCACCAAAAAAGCAATAACCTAGCGTCTATTATTATTATTACAGCGATAACATTGAATATAACATAAATAGGTTCAGGTCTTGTGGTGGATCAAAAGGTCATCAAAAAATTCAAACTCTAACCGTATACAAAAATAAAACAACATTTTTTTTAAATTGTAAGATGTTCTGAAATAAAAGATATTTTTAAATATTAACAATAATGACAAATGAGCCATGTATTTTTAGGTTATTCCTATATTTTACTGTTATTATACATTTTTCTGATATTATAGAAGAACTATAACAATTTCTAGCTCCGTACAAAAAATATTACGAGACAAAGGTGGCGTGTAAAGAAATTCACATCAGAAGATTAGCTCAATAAACAGGTACAATTAGCTAATTATCCAGTGTTATTACCCTGAGGTTAGCACAATTTCCTTTTGATATACTTGCAGATTGTTTTACAAACATATGTATATAAAAGGAAGAAAAAATCCTTTTTTCATGTTGTCTGAAAAATAATATTCTTAATATACTACATTTATACCTATTTTTATTCATTATATACCTACTCTATGCTGTACCATAATTAAATGTCTCCCGGACTTGTCAACGTAAACAGTTTTCTGTTACTTCGTTTTCTTTGCAGGGCTATTTTAAGATTTGAAAATAAGTCATAAACTTTATAAGTTAATTTTTTTTTTGGACCCTCCACCGGATATCACATTATTTAAGATTTATGTAGAATTTGAACTTGCTATAAGTATTTTAATTCTTCGGTATATTTAAAACTTTTAATTCGGAATAAGCTCATTAACTGAGTGCTTTACCCAAAAGACGCAGGTTTTAATTGGAACTTTTTTCGATACTATCAATGAAAAAATCATATTGTAAGTCCGGTCTTATTTCTCAACTACAAGGAACAACTTTTTATAAATCCGTAAACCATCTACACGTCTTAAGTATAAAATAGAGCAACTGTTAAGACTTTATACTATTGTAAAATAATGTGACACGGATTACTCAATGTACGCCCCATGTCATAAATTGAAAACAATTTGATCCGACGGTTATTTTTAATTGATAAGAATGCGACACAAGCAGCACCCTCCCATGCGTAATAGTTGGCTTGGACTCTAGGAGTCATCAGCAGCTGGAGTCGTCCGGTCCAATGGGGAACGGGCTAGAATCAATCCGGTTTATTCCGCCTCTTTACAAGCGCAGCCGAACGTTATCGCAACGCCTGAAACACACATTGAGCCTTGCCGTAGAACTTTGTTTCTCGTTTCACCTTAATCTCGCACGCGCGTTGCATATTGGAAATAAAGCGCAATTTAAAGCCGTTATCGATGTAACGGCATATGAGCAGCATCTCTCGCTTAAATTTTAGTCAAAATATAAAATTAAGTTCCATATATATATGTCAAAAAGCTTCTTAATTACATCATCTCTACCACACATTTACATCAATACCTATAAGCATTTCAGATTTATTTAAAAAACACTTTTCTAAGTAAGATACATTCGTGATATAATTTAAAAGTTTCATGTTCGTTTTTTGTGTATTAACTTTTTAAGTGTGTTTATAGTCATTTGCGATGTTTTTACTTTAAATATTTATTTTTTAAGTATCACCAATTATTACACTTCAACAAGTTTACAAAATCAACAGAATAAATAAAAAGAGTGAAAATACGATTAATGATAGGCAAACACTGTATGTATAGGATGTATATAGGAGTATTCAAAGACAATAATAATTTAATAAGATACAAAACATTAACCTGGTATTAATTGTAAGGTAAGTTTAAGAAATGTTAGAATAAATGTAGAGAATGTATTTCTAAATCAAATATATTGTTTAAAAACTGAAAAGGCAATCTCACCAGAATAATTTTATTTAGCAATGGGTAGGAAATAATATATCAAAATAAAGAAGTAAAAAATCATATTTAGGCAAATAATTTCTTTATTCATCTCCTACATCTTATTTTTCACAATATTAAAATAATATTTCCTTTATTAAATATTGCTTATGGTTCGAGATAGTTCTTGTTTTTTTTTGACGACACTATTGGCGTTGTGGATAGTGTGGATAGTGATTTCTTGCGCTATCTCCGGGTTCGATACCCACTGGTGGAAAAATACAGCATAGTGTCATGTTTATATAAGTGTCTAGATAAATATATAATGTGTATTTATTTACAAAAGAAAAGTATGTTTAAGTATATTAATTTATTTATGACCTTATTAATGACCTAGTAGCCATAGTACAAGCTTCGCTTGGCTTGAGACTAGAGAGCGTTGTGTAATATCATGCCCTGTCCTGAAATATCTGTTTACTTTGACGTGACTACTGTGTAAGAGTTAAGTGTTTAATCGCGAATAGATTGTTGTATTCAACCAACTAACTGATTACCCACTAAACGGAATTGGAAAATCACTAAGTGTAATTATCACTTGAGACCGTTCTTAAAAAGTAAATTGGGTTGGGTGTACGTGGTCATTGAGAACGGCATTTGTTCTTCGGCAACAAATGCGTGACGAAATCGAGTATAAGGCTACTGTTGATTAACTAGATTAGTAACGTGTGCTATTAGTATTGTTTTTGCTAAATAGGAAAATACTGAGATTCCAATTTAAGACCAGATTTTAATATTTTTGAATATTCATGTAATAAAATGGATGAATAAAATATAAAAAGCAGAAAAAACAAATACAGAAATAACACAGCTACATCGATTTAATAAGAACACTTTAAAATATAGAGCTTTATAAAAAAGCTAGATCTATTTTTCGCCCCCGAATACTAAACATCGCACATACTAAATTCATGAAAATCGCTGGAGCCGTTTCCGAGATTCCGATTATATATATATATATATATATATATTGTATACCGGGCACAACTCACACCTACTATATAGGTATATAGTAGGTGTGACTTGTGCCCGGTGAGGTTACAAAACTAAATATGCATTATTTTTCAGGTAGTACTTTTAAGTGTTTACATATTTTGGGTAGTAAATATAGAATCTACACAGGCGTCTCCAAATTTAACTAAATATAATAATACACCAAGTAACAACGAATATATTACGACACAACGAAATGAGACACCGACGAATGAGTTGTTCCATTGGGAGGACTACAGTGTGCTAGCCACAATGTTAGCAGTCTCATGTGGCATTGGCGTCTTTTATGGGTACTGTGGGGAGAAACAAACAACTGGAGATGACTTCTTACTGGGCGGTTCCTCAATGGGCACGTTTCCCATGGCCCTGAGTTTAGGCGCAAGGTATGGGTGACATTTTATGGCTAAAGAGTCGTATAATATTTAAATAAATTGTAATATTTCTTCACGAATTTGTTCTTTTCTTCCTTTTTTGGATAAATTTGCATAGTAAGCTATTACAAATAGATTAAAATGCAAACTGGCAAAACAGTATAGTCACGTTCGTTTTCAAACAACATAAACCAGATTGAATATATCATCAAAACGTCTAAAAAAACAAAGTACTAAATTGCAGTGAGCAATGTATTACCTAAATAAATTGTCAATATATATATGTATGTCATAAAAAAATCTCTTACCTATGCTCTGTTCTAACGTTAGATTATGCAATTGACACGCGCTCAAAATGTAATTGAGCAGAACTGTACCGAGCTTGTGTCGAAAACCAGGTCAACTTTGACAAAAAGATACATATTTTTTTGTTTCAAGTTTCTTTCATCCAAATTGAATCTTCACATACAAATTGAACAATATTTTTTCATTAAAAATATAATATATTAAATTGACTGACGGGGAAATTACAGTGTTTAACCTACCCATGGAACACAGAAACAGGACATGGCTGAAGTGATAACAAATACCATATCTGGAATAAAATTATTACGACCAAATTTATTTGCATTCCAACGGCTTGTCTTTGAAAACACTACCTAAGTCAGACTAAAACTGTATATTTATGACAAATTCTTGAATTTTATTGGTCTGATAAATTTTAACAGGAATAATAATTCGCTTTTTGGATATTTCAGTTTCATTACAGCTATAGAACTTTTAGGAAATCCGGCTGAAATGTATATGGCCGGTGCACAATTCTGGATGATATGTGTGGCTTTTGTATTGGTTGTGCCCATAGCAAGTCAGCTTTATTTGCCAGTGTTTATGAGGCTGCGCTTAACATCGTGCTATGAATATTTGGTAAAATAAAACTAAAATTTATTACATATTAAATTTCTGGTATAAACGTCGGGCTAAAATTTCCTTCTTTTTCTATGATTGTCAATTTTATTACTTAAATTGAGCGAACAATCTTTTAAATGTGCCCATAAATTTAAAATTAATGTAAAATCTACCTCTATGCACATACCTAAGTGTTTTTTCCTTCCAAATGCTCTAACACAAATATATTTTCAGGAAATTAGATTTTGCAAATCAGTCCGCGTGTACGCAAGCACGCTGTACATGATGCAGATGGTATTGTATACAGCGGTAGCAGTGTATGCGCCTGCGTTGGCTCTATCTGACGGTATCTATTTTTTATTTACTTATATAAACTAAGCGCATGAACTTTCGTTATAAAACGACTGTCTCTGCTAAACTTCGAGCGAAAAATTGTTATCATACACTGGAATAGACGAAGTTACGCTAATCATAAGTTATTTTGATCATACGATGGTTTAGAATTCTAAATTTTGTATAGCCATATTAAATGAAAATCTTGATTGTTTCTAAAACAAATTTACAATTCATCAATTATAATTATGGTCATCAGTCCTTCACACGTATAATAAATTTAATTTCAAATTTTTAGTGCTAGTCTTCGCACTTAAGATGAAATTTAAAAAATGTAAGTACTTAGATTAAATAGTCGCAATTTGTTTTTCAAAATGGTGACTCGTTTACAATTGTAAAAATGTAATTGGAGAAAGTTTGATTCCTCCTAAAGAAATCATATTAAATAGGCATTATCTAATACAGCAATCGCAGCAATGCGTTGTTTCAAACGCAATAAAATAAAGTAGATAAGACATCGAGAATTTTGCGCCGCGAGAATATCGATAGGTAAGCTTAGCTTAGTGGGTAAATGAAAATAAAACTTTTCGTCATATTAAAATATTCACACAGGTCGAGCTGAAGCGTATTAAAAATAATTGGCTCTTCTATAGAGTGCAGATTGACTGTGGTTCTTTGATGTCGTTTGCAGTTTTATATTTTTGACAGCGAAACTTTTTCGGTCATCTCAATGAGTTCCATGTAACATTCTAATTTAAGCAGCCGCCGCTTCTATTTAAAATAACATAACGCAACCGACAAATATGCGCTGTAACAGGTATAATACCAATGGCGAAACATAAAAATTTATGGACGATGTAATGATATAATTGACGCCACGTAATTAGAAAACAGTCATGGAGATTATTCTTTAAGATATTTTTTAAAGTGAGATTGCGTAAGCTGTAATTTATTGGAAGAGATTGTAATATTTAATTGAGCCATTATCAGCATGTGATAAGATTGAAGACTTAAACCGGGTATGGATCAATGTAATTCATATTAACAACGTTCATCAGAGTAACTTAGACTACTAAAGGCAGTCATTATATCATCATCATCATTTCAGCCTGTTTGAGTCCACTGCTGAACATAGGCCTCCCCCATAGACTGATGAAGTACGATCCTGAGCCACCTGCATCCATCGACTTCCCGCACATTTGCACAGGTCGTCACTCCATCTAGTGGGGAGTCGTCCTACACTGCGATGGCTAGTACGAGGCTGCCACTCGAGAACCTTTCTTCCCCAACGGTTATCGGTTCTACGAGCTATATGGCCGGCCCATCGTCACTTCAGCTTGCTAATCCTCTGAGCTGTCGGTTATCTTAGTTCTACTGCGGATGTCTTCGTTACGAACTCTATCACGCAGAGAAATACCGAGCATAGCCCGCTCCATAGCTCGCTGAGCGACTTTGAGCTTCCTCATACGGCCAGCAGTGAAGGACCACGTCTCGGTTCCGTAGGTCATCACTGGCAACACACATTGATTGAAGACTTTAGTCTTCAAACATTGAGGTATATTCGACGAGAAGATTTGCCGAAGTTTCCCGAACGCTGCCCATCCGAGTTGGATTCGCCGATTGATCTCTGCGTCGAAGTTGGACTTACCTAGCCGGACTAACTGTCCTAGGTAAACGTACTCGTCAACAACTTCGAGCTCAGTGCTCCCAACAACAACCGGTATAGGCGTGACATGGACATTAGACATGATCTTCGTCTTGTCCATGTTCATCTTAAGGCCCACCCGTTGGGAGACACTGTTGAGGTCATTGAGCATAGCACCCAGGTCCTCCAGCGATTCTGCCATGATGACTATACCGTCGGCAAATCGAATTTGGGTGATGTATTTGCCATTGATGTTAATACCTCGTCCTTTCCAGTCCAGAAGCTTGAAAACATCTTCCAACGCAGTGGTGAAGAGTTTCGGGGATATGACATCACCCTGTCTTACACCCTTCTGCAGTTGGATAGGTTTTGTACTACTGGACTGTACTTGGACGGACATTGTAGCCTTGTTATACAAACACCGCAGCACTTCGATATACCAACAGTCAATTTGGCACCGCTGAAGAGCCTGGAGTACCAGTCATAGTCCACATACGCTAGGCACAAAGGCAGATTATACTCCTCGGTCTTCTGTATAATCTGCCGTCAGGTGTGTATGTGGTCTATGGTACTGAAGCCTTTTCGGAATCCGGCTTGTTCGGGAGGCTGGAAGTCGTCGAGTCTGGAAGCGAGACGATTCAATATGACTCTTGAGAACAGCACATAGACGCGGCTCAGAAGGGATATCGGTCTATAGTTCTTCAAGAGAGCGTTATAGCCTTTCTTAAAGAACAGCACCACCACACTTCTGCTCCACGCCTCTGGTGTAGTACCACCCTGAAGGACGGAATTAAAGAGCCTCTGAAGGACTACAAGTACCGGTTCTCCACCCGCTTTCAGAAGCTCTGCTGTAATTTCGTCCTCTCCCGATGCTTTGCCATTCTTAAGATGGTCAAGGGTCATTCTAATCTCGCTCAGACTGACGTCCGGGATATTCTCGGAATAGTGTCGGATAAGCTTTGCTCTTGGGTCGTTACTCACACATGTGTATGGCTCCAACGACGATGTGTACAGCTGTCCATAGAGCCTCTCAATCTCCCCCAAAACCTCTGGTCTACTGGAGATGATAGCCCCGCTGTCAGTCTTCAACTTAGTCAGTTGGCTTTGTCCGATAGACAGATCTCTGGCGAAGACTTTTGAGCCTAGGTTCCGCTCTATAGCTCCCTCAATACGGGCTGTATTGAAGTTGCGTAAGTCTCGCCGCATGTATTTGGAGATCTGCCTATTAAGCCGCCTGTAGTCTGACATGTCAGTTAAACTGCAGCCGCATCGCACGTCTTTTTGCCAAGAGGTTAAGAGTGTGATCAGAGAGTTTTTGGGTTCTATTTTTCCGGCGGGCCTTATAAAATTTAAGGCCCACGGCATGGACAGTTTCCTCGAGCTTAGCGTTAATATCGTCCACCGTGCTGCAATTTTCTAGGCATTGGAAGCGATTATGTAGCTCGAGCTGAAAGCTTTCGGAGTTCTTGATATGGGCACGAGATCGTCGGAGTGTGGACTTCATTAGACGAGATCTTTCCAGCCTAATATTCAATGTGCCTCTCACCAATCGGTGATCACTGCCGGTCTTCACCCTTGTGATCACAGAGACATCATTGAATATTTGCCGTTTGTTCGTCATAATGAAGTCTATCTCGTTTTTTACAGAACCATCGGGGCTAGTCCAGGTCCACTTTCTGTGGGGCTGCTTTTTGAAGAAGGAGTTCATCATAAAGAGTCCCTCCTTCTCCATAAAGTCAGGCAGCTGCTGCCCCCTTGGGTTCTGTTGCCCTATTCCAAAACTACCCACTCTCAGCTCATCGTCTTTCCTTTTGCCTAGTTTTGCGTTGAAGTCTCCCATTAACACCATGTACTGAGTTTTGGAGGAATGTATGGCTCGTGATATATCCTCATACATTGCCTCCACCTCATCATCGGGATGTGTCGACGTTGGTGCGTAAACCTGTATGACCTTCAGCGAATACCGTTTGGATATTCTGAGTATAAGGTACGCAACCCTCGACGACACACCACGACGACGATTTTAACAACGTTGTTAATGAGAGACTTGTGGACGATAAATCCGACACCTCCTTGGCACAGGTGGTCGCCCTCCCGGTGGTATAACAGGTTGCCGGATTCGAGGATTATCGTGTCCTCCCCCTGTCTTCGGACTTCAGATAATCCTATTATATCCCAGCGCAGCCTGTTCACCTCTCCTTCTAGCTCTGTAATCTTCTCGTTAGTCCTCAATGTTCTTGCGTTGTATGTTGCCAGGTCCAGTCGCCGTCGTTGGTAGCCGAATCCTAGCCGGGGATTCTTAGCACCCCCTGCCCTGCCGTTACCATGACCGCTACTGTAGCCAGGAATAGCAGGGCCACCGGGGACTGGGGGCCGCACATTAAGGACTTCTATCATGAAGGGGGGGTTGTGCCATAGTTGCCACGCCTGGCAAGCGGGTTGGCAACCGCAGTTCCTCCAGACTCCTCGCACCTATAACGCTGCTGCCCGTTATTGGCCTGGCTATTTAGGGTCTGGAGAGTCGAGATGGTTATCCCGCCATCTATCGGTGGCCACCAGATGTTTGTGGCTTGTCCCTTAGTCGCCTCTTACGACACCCACGGGATGAGATGGGGTGGCTTATTCTTACGCCGGCACCACACGGCAACGCCGGCACCACACGGCAGTCATTATATGTTAAAAGTAAAAACTGTTTCTCATATGTATAGAGAAAATCTCAAAGGTAAAACAATTCAGAAACCTTTTCCTCGGTGCTCAACCGATTTTCTTTTTTTATCGAATAAGAGTTGAAAGAAATGTTACAAAAAAAATTATATGTTTTCATCAAATCAGCTATAATTCATTATCTTCACTGTATAAAACGTGTTAAATATACGAACAATAGTAATGATAATAATATATGAAAAAAAATTATAAAATGAGACGTTCGATTTCCTTTCAACTATATCGTAGTTGCAAATTTAGTAAATCAGTTTAATAGTAAAATTAATCAATTATAGGTCAAGTCGTTATTCAATAAAGTATTATTAACGTATTTATTTATAACTTTGTACACCTAAATCGCCACTGCTTAAATTAATGTAGTTGACTGCGTTTAATGTTATAACCAATTAAGAAATTTCTAAATGTTGTCGTTTGCAATAAAATAGCCACGCCCGTTCATCATTTTCTTACGATACCAAAAATAATCATGTTGTTTATATAAAATGGTCACTTAAAATTAAAAACTAACAGTGAACGATCGCAATAAAACTTTTTTTGGGTTCCGTAGGTACCCCAAAAGTTAAAAAAGGATCCCCTATAAGATCACTCTCTTGTCTATCTGTGGACCTAGCAAGTTGATATTTATACCAGATACTGAGGTCTATAGTTCCTATTAGGTGTATAAATAAAAGGTCCAGATTCAACACGAGTAAAAGATATGCTCTAATTTAGATTTTCGCGAAACCCAAAATTTATCTTAATTCTCCATTTTTTTTATATTTCGGAATTTTCCTTTTACTTGTGCTGTTAAAACCTTGCATTTAACCAAAATTCACAATTCTAGGTCAACCGGAAGTACCCATAGAGGTTTTGGATCAAAAACCTATATGGTAGACCGTTGATCTAAAATCACTAAATTTAGAAATAGGTACACGCCAATTATCTGAGTTGTGTGGGCGCTCATACAAATTAGAGGATTAGCTTAATTAAAACTTAGCTACCAATAAAAATTATACCAATTTTATTATGGTGGTATAATGGGTAGGTACGGAACCCTCGGCGCACGAGTTCGACTCGCACTTAACGGGATTTTTTAATAACAAAAAAGTTTAAAATATGCAAAAACGAGCTAGATATGACACTAGCGCACCGAAACTGAGTCGCTCAAATTACACCGATTCGTGTAATTAGATTGCAACTCTTTAGACTACTATCTCTTTCCCTATCATACGTTCTATGTTATCCGTCATATCCACTTATATATGTCATATAATGTAAAGCGGAACAATATTTTAACGCCGCGCTGTATGCGCATGTGTCATCTCTACTAAAACATAATTTGATTAAAGGGTCATGTTTCGTAACAACGACATCATCATAGATATGAAACATAAATGCTTGAAAAGATTGTAATAGAATACAAAACAAAAATTTGTTTACCGTAAGCATTTGAATTCTTGCATGTACTTGCATAGCGCCTACGCAATACATGTCTAAAACACATTCGAATCACGAACAATGCAATCTATTTCATAGTCTATTAGCTAAAAGAATCTTCACCACAACAAATTATATGCTACCTTTTGAAATCGAACAAATGCCTTCCACTTGCGCCCAGTTCCAGTTGTGCAAATAAAATAAAAAAAATATGAGTCATGACATTATAAAGAATAATAATGTCTAGGTCGTAAGTTGAATTGAATCTTTATTCCATATCAAAACAATGCACTTCCTTCACTTTACTGAATTGCATCGTGTAAACGTAGCGTAAAATTTTAATATCCAAAAGTAACCCAAAAAATTTATCGCAAGCAAGGATAATCAAAGACAAAGCTTAATAAAAAATATGTATAAAATAATTTAAGGTTCATTTGGTTCTTTGATTTTGTATTTCCTTTTTTCAAATACCTGTTAATGTTATTTAAAACTTATTAAATTAGACTATAGTAACAATATGATTTGTGTGCGAATTAAAATCAGGTAATAACAGAAAAAATTATTGCAAATTAAAATGGGTATTTCATTTATCATAGAAATTTTGCATATACAGGATGATCTTTGGAACGCCGTTATCGTTAAGTTACTTTAATATTAGGGGCACAACAGTAAACAAAAGACGTACATGTTGTAGTTATCGCATGTTAAAATTCTTTATGGTATGTTTTAAATAAAAAAAAATTAGCATAACTATTGCGCAACGCTAAATACCTATTCGTTGCAGGGTTAATGTCAGGCACATGAATATAATAGATATAACTTACATCATTATTTAAGTATTCAAGAGGGTCAACTCTTGCTAAACTGGTGCGCCGTAGTTTACGACGCATGATTTTTAATATGTCTTTACTATCGGTTGCACAAATTTATTATCATTGTTCAATGCACCCGAAGGAGGATGTTGGCCAAAGCCGGTCGTGCAATTGACACGATATTGCCGATGCTGGCACTTAACAACTAATAATGATCGTTTATTATTTCAACTTTCTATAAATGGTAGAAGGCGAATGTTATATTGCATAGTCCTAATGTTAGAGTCGACTTGCCTTTGACCCATGAAGAAATAAACGTCCTTAAGCATTTTACATATTTAACTTAAAATCCTGTGGCTTAATTTTTTTTTGTATGTGAGTACAACGGTAGCCTACCACGTTTGTCAGTCTAGTTTGGGCCGAATTTTAAATCATACTTCACTGCCGAAAAATAATTAACAATGTTAGTCATAATTTTCGCAACCTTTAACTATTAATATGTACTACAAGTGCTAAGCTGCTAATTAAAGTAAGTAGAATCAATGGTTACGTAACAGGACTTAATACGGTATTTGTAATTATAAGAATCAGGGGACACGACACTTGTGCTTACACACATCAATTGTATATCGTTTAAATTAGATACAAATACATACCTACGTATTATATTATGAGTTAACGTAAATCGCCAACCTGGATCTAAAACTAAAGCAACATAAGAATAAGGAGTCAACGTATAATAGGAAGATTGCTAATTCGGCGTAGTAAATAAATAAAGTAGTGACCATAATGATACGAAAAAATATTTCAATAAACAGATTTTATAAATTGCGTACAAGTTTTATATAATTTAAGATAAATTATAAAATGATTCGAAGTAATAGTAGAGAAAATAACTATTTTTATACATTTTAAAATAACTGTTTAAATGTTAAAAATTGTAATATACACATTAAACAGACAAAAATGCTTAGAAAATACTACTAACTAATAAAAATAGTAGTAAATACAAACATTATCTTACATAACTTTTTTTTTTCAGTGACCGGTCTAAATACATATCTTGCGGTGTCTTTGGTATATATAGTGTGTATTTTCTACGCATCTCAGGTGATTATGAATAAGCTGACTTTTTTTTTTAAACTAAGAAATGGAAGGATTATTAATTGACAGTAACAAGCTTTTTTTTAATTTTTTTTTAATCTTTGTAGGGTGGTATGAAAGCTGTTATTATGACGGACAGCTTTCAATCGGCCGTACTACTTGGATCGCTTGCCGCGGTCCTTTCAATGGGAGCCAGGAAAGCAGGAGGTCTGGATGCAGTGTGGGACTACGCAAAGCGTACTGAGCGGTTCCACTTTTTTGAGTAAGGCACTGTTTTTTCGTATTATAGGGCGTAGAGAAAATGTCTATGGAATCCTCATTTCGTAGGCTATGTTTATGTCAAGTAAACTGAAAACAAGTTAACCTTTTCACTGTGGTGCTCAAAATTATACATGGGACTGTTATCTTTTAAAAGTAATTGTAACAAACGTTAAACTATAAACTTAATTGTCATTGTAAACCAATAATGGCATACTAAATATAACTATTCATTAAAAGTTAACTGAGTTTTATCTATTGTAATGGTCGTGTCCTCCATCTCTGTCATAATATAATTATTTCTAATTTAAATGCGTAGTAATTTGATACAATGAATGAACTTTATTGAAGATTAATAATAATAAATAAATAAAGAAATAAATATTTTTAGGTCAAATTTTTACACAACGTTCTCTAGTCACAAACTAAGCAACGTTGGTACTATGGATATTAGATAACTGATAAACATACTTAAACATACTTTTCTTTTGTGAATAAATACATATTATACATATATAAACACCCAGACTACAAAAACACTATGTTCATCTCACAATATTTTTCCAGTAGTGGGGATCGAACCCACACCCTCTGGCGCTGGGAGTGTACCTGACACTACCCACTAAGCCATTCGGGTCGTCACGATTGCATGTATTATGTACATAAATATTATTCAGTATTTCATAGAACACCAAGGCTTTAAGGAAATTTTACAAACTGTATCCCTTTTTGGTTAAAGAGCTCATCAAAGTTGTTGATAAAATTTGATAATTTTAACCGACCTATTTTACTCCAAAGCTATTGTTACAAATCGTAGATAAACTTATTTATTTTCATTCTCTTCACCTAAAAATATTTTGCATGCACATATTATGTATACAGTACCCGGAGGACCGAGCTTTGCTCGGTTTGTTTTTTTTTTTTTTTTGGTAAATCGTGTATTTTGGAAATTACATTTAGATTCAAATTACTGAGTAATGAAATATGCATAATATTTTTCGATCTTACCGACGTAATAATAAGAAAATATGAACTGATGTTTTTTCACAAAAGAAAGAACTTTAAAAAAAAGGGAAAAAAATAACAAAATAACAAATCGACAAAAAATTAAAAATAAAGAAAGCAATGATCTGGAATCGAAAAAAAAGTAAAAAATAAATGTGTAAATGATCGTGACGCGAACCACGGCCGTCTGTTTTGGGGCCGCCCGATTACCGACCGAGCTATTATGACATTTTCTCTTGCGGCGAAATTTACCGTCATATTCGAATTATATTTTTCATTCCCTGAAAACAGGGATAAAAGGACGTTTTCTAAAAATGAAACGTAGCTAGATCGATTTTTCGCCCCCGAATCTATGCACATACTAAATTTCATGAAAATCGCTGGAGCCGTTTCCGAGGTTCCGATTATATATATATATATATATATATATATATATATATATATATACAAGAATTGCTCGTTTAAAGGATAAGATGTGTACCTATGTATGCGTATGCATGAATGTTGGTATTATGTGCGTAATTGGTATAAAATATCACCAGCGACATGGCAATAATTTCATGACTGAAATTAATTTTTTGTAGATAAATTATTTTCGAAAAATTTTTAATTTTTAAATTATGAACAACTTACGTCTATTAAAAATTCACCTTTTATATTTCACACTGAGTTCAGAGATTAGCGCTAAATACAATTAACCGAGCATTTCATGGCTGATACTTTTTATGTTCACTATAATATTCCTATACTTCGTCAGGAACAACAGTTTTTTGTTTTATTAGCATGAATCCCGACCCCACTGTGCGCCACTCCTTTTGGTCGGTGGTCGTCGGCGGTACCATGTATTGGCTGAGCATGTTTTGCGCCAACCAAGCGTCGGTGCAAAAGTACCTCTCCGTGGAACGCATCGCTCAGGCCAGAGTGGCGCTATGGGTTTCCGCCGTCGGCCTTATCGCGGTGTACTCGGTCAATTTCGCCACCGGCGCCGTCCTTGCCGCGCATTATGCTGATTGCGATCCCATTCAGGTACCAGCGCGCGACACGAATTTTGATTCTTCAAAGTTTTCTTTTCGGCCACTTCATTTTTTTACAACATTATTATTCGTGGCATAACGAACACACACAGCCGAAGCATTTAACCTTTCTTCAGAAGCCTTCCACATTATCTTATTCAAATTATATTATGTATTAAATATATTACAATAATTAAAATACTTTTATTACTTTTACCTTTCAACTAGTCGTTTACTATTGATCTCATCTAGACCATACATGATCTATCAATGCTTAATTACTATACAAGCAGATTCACAAATCAATTCTGAATCTTATGTATTTAATATAGCCCTTACTGATAATATATTATTTTTCTCGTTGAATAATAGTCTTATTATACAGTAGAAGCACCAAATTACAATGCATTTAATGAAAACATAGTAAAATAAAATACGTAATACAGCTAAATTTTAAATATAAATATTTACCGTAGGCTCGCATAATCAACGCTTCGGATCGGCTTCTTCCGCTATACGTTGTTCGAGAATTGGGAGCAGCGCGAGGTATTCCAGGATTTTTCGTCGCGGGAATTTTTGCGGCCAGTCTTGGGTATTGCCTTAACATTGTTAAAAATTAAATTTGTCTATTCTAAATCTAATATTTTATAGCTCACTAGCAATTTTTTCTTACTTTATATTAACTTAGCGCCAAACGAACGACAGTAAACTTATTTTTCATTTTGAGAACAATTCACAAACCGAGACGCTCGAAGTGTCGTTAGTAACTGAATCCAGCTTAGTTCCTGAATTAGGTCTTAACTAGAAAAGCCAGTTGTACCGGTTTTAATTTGACGGATTCAGATTGTGAATTGAGAGTACAATTCGCATTAAAGCTAAATGTATAAACAGTCATGGATCTGGCTATCAACAGAAAAATGATTCATAAAACAAATTATTTATTTACATAACTACAGAGAATGCAGCGTTTTTTGTAATTAAGTAAACATATTTAAATTGTGATGAATAAAAAATCGAGAATCGAAGAAAAGAATTTATTGTTTTTAAACTATGTAGCTGTGGAAAAGTTATTTATTTAATCTAATTGACAAATGTTTTTTTCAATTTACTCTTTAATTAATTCATATAAATATAAATTTCTTGTCACCATAGGACGGTAGCATCAGCTTTAAACTCGTTGGCTGCTATTGCATGCCAGGACTTGTTTACTGGCTTACTTGGGATAACTCTGCCTGAAAACAAGGGGGCTGTAGTAAGTGAAAACAACAAAATTCCTATAATCGATTAATTAATAACATTTTTTATGGGAAGATGTAGTAATAGTCACAGGCAGTTCAGCTGTCATTAGGTAATTACCGCCGCATATACCTACATCATACCTTTAAAAGATTAACTCTGGTTACATGAATCATAAGTCGAAACGCTTAAGCATAATACTTCCACTTCATCATGGTATTCTGTATGGCCCAGGTATTTTCCGGGATGAGCTGCTGACTGGCCTCACCAGAGATAAAAATATGTAAGTCTCACAGCTGATTGAGCTCTGATTTTCAATTTGCCCTCACGCAAGATTATTGATTTAACGCTGCCAAATCGTAAAAATAAAGGGCTTGAAACTGTGTTACCATTTGTCTTAAATATCGATTGAATAATTTTGTTAGTTGATGAAGTACTGCTGCTGTACTAAAACACTCGAAAGATATCAGATAACGAAGACGAAAAGCAAATGTTAGTCTTTTGTTTTAAACTACACATGACTAGAAAATAAATGCCTTGTACAGTTATATTGCATACTCTTCATAAACATAAGATTAATTATTAATATTCTCGAGTATAAACAATACTTTTGATAATCTCATTGACTATGTTTTATACTACAAAATGTATTTGTCATGGAATTTTTTAATTCAATCTCCAGATAGCTAAGTGGGTGTGCTTAGCGTGTGGAGCTATATCCTTTGCCTTGGTATTTGCCGTCGAACGCCTCGGTCCAGTTCTGCAACTAGCACTCTCGTTCAACGGAATGGCGGGAGGCGTATCATTGGGGCTTTTCAGTCTTGGGATGCTCTTTCCGTGGACTAATGCTAAAGTAAGTAATTCACCATCGTAATTTCTTAAATTCAAGCCCAAACGCATCAAAGCTGTAGTGTACACTATACTACACATGGACGATCACCCAGATCCGAAACTGTTATCTACGAGTATGAGTCACACCTATAAAATATGGCCTCTTCAACATAATCAAAGAGTTTTTGTATTCTGAGAACATAAACGAGAAAACGGGATACATAGTGTTGAAAACTTAAAAACTGTAGATCCTCTTTTCACGACACCGATAGCAAATACTATTTGCGTTTCACAAAATTTTTTTTCATAATTTTGGTCATCGTAGGCAGAGAAAATGTGAAGACTTTACTGTGTCACGTACAACTGACTTTTCCGGATTTTCACTATGTGCGTTGTGCTGTATTTGACACACAATAATATCTTCTGCATGGGGTGACTCGGCCGTGACGGTGACAAAGTCTCACACAACAATGGTGTACAGTAAAGTACCTATTCATTCTGTTTCTCTTCGTTCGTGAGTCAAGATACCGAAGCCAAACCTTTTAAAGTTATGGAACGCAAGTACTTAGTTTCTGGTTGTCCATGGGAGGCATTAATTGCATCAAGAGAATAGGTTTCATTTATCCGATAAAAATGTGCAATTTATTTGTTTCAAAGCTTTACGACACATGGTTTTAAAATAGTGAGGTACAGTATATATTAGGGACATACATTATACATTTGTATACATTAGGGACAGTATATATTTTCTTTTAACAGGGTGCAGTCACTGGAGGCGTATTTGGATTGCTGGTAGTAGTTGCAGCCGGTGGTGGAGCTCAATTTGTGCAGCTTCCATTGCCACGTCTTCCCGTCTCAACTGATGGATGTCCAGCGTCATACAACCTTACCACACTCATGACAGCAAACCCGACGTACGATAACTATCGAATTTCTTCTGAGTATAGAACGGTCGATATTAGTCTCTTATATTTATTTTAAATGGATTCTGTACTAGTAGTTTTTACCGTAGTAGAACCACGCAACCGCTTTCAGGCCCGTCCGTGGAAGTACTGAATTACTGATGCCTCAAAAACGAGTAGCGTTACATTTGGTTATTGAGGTAATTACAAAAAATGTGTGTATTTGTGTACACACGAAACAAGTTATAGGTCTTTAGAGTAACATAAGAAAATTACTAATAACTGTATCCTCTGTGCCAGTACTCTTTTTTGAAAATACATTAAATACAATTGATAACGGAATTATTATAGGTAAATGTAATTGTTGTTATTGGTTGCCATGGTAATACTGTGGCATGGCAACCGAGCATAAGAAGAACTTCAAAAATGTTATTTTTCAAAATAACATTGGTAGGTAGCCTCACCTTTCACTGATAAATACTTATTTACACATTATTATGTCTGTGTGACCTTAATACTGTCCGAGAATTTCGCACGGTTCAGCGTTATCAAATACTTTAATATATATAATATGTGAAAGTATGAATATATATTAAAATTAATTTAAAAAAAAACGAATGGGTAGGCCCGTCCGGCGGAAAACCGGCGTGAAGTAGAAATCGTCTGGAAATTGAGGTAACCGGGGCCCAATTCTTTATAAACTGGAAACGCATCTGCCAAGGAGTTTAAGATGTCCAAGGGCATTGGTAATATATAGCTTGACATCAGGGGAACCGCATGCTTGGTTATCGTCTTCTCACATGAAAAAAAAATTATTAAAATTCACCAATACATAATTAGACGTTCTTAAAAAGATATAAAATAAGAATAAAAATATAGATAAGATAATAATAATAAGAAATCGAGAGTGTTTAAAACATCAAACAAATGCCTCTTTTGATCTTGACTAATGAGGTTCGCCCATTTTTCAGATTTGAGAAAATGTTAAGTGATACATAATTTTGCTGTCTTAAAAATTGATATCGCGTGAAAGTTTTGCTTCGGCCACCGCTTTGATGTGATATCATCTATTACTCCTTAAGTTTCACGTTATGGAATAGCAATGGTTTTCAACATTTTCTTATATATGCGAAGTCACGTAACAATAAAAAGAACGTGTGTAGGTATTTGCTTATGTACTTATGTTCTTTAGCGTATGAAATAAAAAACTAGAAATTTTTCCCGTGCTAGTTTTTGACAAAAAAGACATTAAATGCATTTGATTATTGTTTAATTTAATTAAATAACTTGGAATTATAGGTAACTGTCAAATAGTTGTTATTGGTTGCCATGCCATCACCATGAAGTTAGTGTCGCTTCACAACCAACCTCATGATGTCGCTTTTATGTGTCAGTATGCGGGCGCATCAAAATTCACTCTCATCATTTTTCCAAACGCTCCAGAAGAAGTATAACTTCAAAAGTATACTGTTATATTTATTATATTTCTTTAATTCGCAGTTTCGTTAGTAGGTATATTCAAAGATACCAAATTGCCTGTTGCGGGCAGTTTTTCTCGCATCTAAAATTTTCTTAATCTTGACTATAGACCTAATAGTGGCGCTTCTTAGAAGATCATAGTTACATTTATTTATAAAACCTTACAACCTTATATACCTAATACAATAGTGTGGCAATCTAAAACACAAAGAAAACTACTTATTAACTATATCCAAAAAAAAAAAAATTACAATGCAACCTTTTTTGTATTCGCTCAGAGAACACAAGAATAAATCTACATCCCTAGCAAACATAGCAAACAGAGACAGAGACGTGGTCGATAAATCGAAGAAAAGAAATCGGACATTTACCATTCTACATTCTGATAAATGAGGCCTCAGCAGCCTTATTGTCCTCGAGTGTGCGAGTCGCATCGCAAGTTTGAATGACAGTGGTATCTTGTGCCTTGTGTGAAGCGACAGGCCCGTCACCTGTTCACGTCTTCAAATAGGTATATCTGTTTCACCCCTTAGGGCACACCTCACACGTACTTATTTCGGTTAAGAACTATGTGTGTATTCTTATTGTGATTTTGAAATAAAAATTAAGATTGTACAGAGATAAATTTTATTACAGGGAAAATCGGGGTGAATCAGTGTTTTGGCTGTTCCGTGTGTCCTACCTGTGGTATGCAGGTTTGGGGTGCTTCGCAACCCTGTTGGCCGGACTGATTACCTCCGTCGTTACCGGGGTAACTGACCCGTCGCATGTGCCCATCGATTTGATATCGCCGCCTGTTATCACGTTCCTCAATTCTTTGCCTACCAAGTTTAAAGTAAGAACCACTGTTTTTTTATGCTCATTATCGTTCAAAGTCAATAAACGCTTTCAATGCTTGGAATAGTTTGATGAGATACTAGCCCAGCTATATTATTATTGATTAACTTCAATTAATCCTAGTACATACCAAAGTATGGGCTGAAGTTAATTATGCTTGCCTTAATTGTACTTCTTTTGCAGAAAATAAGTCTAAATCATTTATCATAGATTAGCAATAAGGAGTAGACTCACTGATAGTTAATTTCTACATGAAATGAATATTGCTTCTGAAAAAATATTCGATATTTTTAGACGAAAACTGTGAAATTAAAATATATTAATTAGTATTAGTTAAATTAATAAGTATTATTTAATTATTAATAAGTATTACTTAAATTAGTTTAAAACGTTGAAGTCAGATATTGACTGCCAACAATTCTACTGTTATTATTTTCACAATCATTCACTACACACTTATTTAAACCTATCAAAAAATAACGTAACAATGAAGAAAAATAATGGTAACAAACTAGACAAAAAAAATAAAATATGTAGAAAAATCAATCAATCAGTTCAATCTTAAGTGCAGAGATTAGCACTATAAACAATTTAAATTTCTAGACAAAAAAAGTTTGCATTAACAACATGGGACCCGTCAAAAAAAGGATCCGTCGACATTGCCCCACAGAAAGCACTCCGCGTGCCGACGCGTTTCGGCTGCGAGCGTCGGCGCAGCTCGAGCGTGCGGCCGCCGAGCGTCGCCGACGACAAGGACACGAGACGGAGGCGGCGGCTGTCCGAGCTCGCGGGCGGCGTGTTCTACAGCGACACGCCGCTCACGCGCGGCTGCGACAACCCCGCCCTGGCGCTCGACCCGGAGAAACCGCCGCCCGACGACTGCACCCACCACTCATTCACCCTCGAGCCCACGTCGTCACCCAGCTGCCCGCAGACGTCCACTTGCTGAGCTTTAAACTAGCTGGCTACCGTGCAAAACTTAAATGCGCCCAAATATTGGCTTCTTGAGTTAAATATCGTCCAGTGCAACATATTGGTAAATGATTAAGTATATTAAAAATTTGTTACAATGCGGTAAACAAGTATTTAGCGGGAGTAATAAACGAAGCGTTCGACTTTGGTCCAAACAATACATCAAAATGTCACCCTTTAATATAACTTGGACGCACTTCAGAAGCGCACTTAATGTCTTGCGCCCAGGGCCACATTTAGAGGTCCGGAGGCCTCGGGGCAACAAAGGAGTGGAGGCCCCTTGGCCCAAATTATTTTCAATTGATTTCTGTTCATATTTAATATCATCAAATCATGTTTGTACAAAGTAAAACGCAAAAAAAATATGAAAGGAAAAGTTATTTACTATTGTTTACTAGTCTGAATTTAATTTTTTTTTTCCGAAGTCTCTATTGTAGGAGCCCCTCGTTTGTGGAGGCCCCAGGGCTGTTGCCCCGTTTGCCCTCCCCTAAATCCGGCCCTGCTTAAGCCTAACTAGTTTAGTTTTTTCTGAATTTAAACAGTATTATATGATAAGAATTTTTTTGAGGAGATAGTCGAATTACTAAGAGCATGTTATATGAATTAAAAATTTTTTATTACCGTTATTAAAGACCATACCTAGGGTTATGAACTTTGTTAATTTAAAATCGGTTTCTATAACCTAATAACAAAATTAAGGACTTCGTGTTTTGACTTCTGAACTATGACAAATATTATGCGTCAAAAGGAAAGTTCTATTTATTTAGTTTAAATATTACTGTACTTATTGCTCTCATCGCCAAAATAAGGTTCTGAATTCAAATTAGTACCACTGTAAAACATTAAAAATTTCTAACCCAAAGGATAATGCAGAGCAAACATTAAGTTATTCTATGATTATTTATCAGAGTGAACAAAAATCCGACATAGTTAGTCGTAAAATAAATATAAAATGCGTTTAATATTTGCATGTAAGTGATACAATTATTTGACTTGTGGATAATGTGTTTTGTTAAAATAATATTCATTATAATTTTTTTGTTTTTTTTTATTACCTCAATGTCATTTTAATACTATTAATGTATAAAGACAAACAAAGAATCATAACATACATCGGAAATATGATACACTTATATTACACAGCTTAAAAAAATGTTACATAATAGCAAATAAAATATCGCAATCACTTGAAACCAATAAAACGCTGGATACAATGGAATAAAACATTTATTTAATACTAGCTGTCCCGGCAAACGTTGTTTAGCCATATAAATTATTTGTAGGGTAGAAATAAATGTTTGAGGTGGACCACCCTTAATATTTAAGGGGATAACAAATAGATGTTGTCCGATTCTCCACCCTGGCTTCGGAGGAGTTCAATTACAAACACCGTGACACGAAAATTTTATATATTAGATACTTCAAGCATAATCATTTGCTTGCCTTTCTGTCGATAAACAAACGTAATTTAATATAATGTAGGCCCGTGGAACAAAACAACGGATATACAGAGAAGTAAATAAATGAATCTATGCTTAACAATATAAAGTCGTAAATTTACAAGCACACCTTTCACGATAACAAGTCTTGCTGCTGTAACGTTTGTTGTTGATGGATCTCCTGCATTGTCGACACCGGCAGCGTGGCGCTGACTGTAATAGACGGCATGCCGGGCAGCGATACAGGCGTTACTACGGGCAGGCCACTCGTCATTGGGGGTAGCATGGTAGTTTGGTTGAAACTGCTCATGTCGAATGTAGGGACCAGATTTTGAGCAGCTTGCGGGTACGCTTCAGAGGTCGGCACTTGCTGGTGTGTGTAGCTAAGCATCATAGGTATGTAAGGTTGTGGTTGGTTCATTGGAATGCCTGGTAGGCTGGGCAGAGGTGCTGGTGGCTGCATGTTTGACACTGATGGTATACTGCCTAAATTGGTGAGAGTGGCATCAGCTAAATCTGAAAACAAGAATGTTTGGTAATTTTATTTAATATCAATATTTACAGAGAATAGAATGTAAATTTACATTTGAGAGCTATTAGCATTAAATTTCGCTGTTCACACTCGCTTTTGTCATTTACAGTAGAATTCAGAGCAATTATAAAATTATTATTACTAATATACTGTGGACCTAGACTTCCCATAGGTATCAAATCATAGATAAAGATGAATCCAGTAGCATGCACCAACACGCACCTTAATGGTGTCAATATTTGACAATAAATAAATTAGCAAAATATGAATAAACATAGATCTCTACTCCATTCGTATTTGAGATAATCTGAATTGTTGGAACAGAGTTCCTTATCGTACGTTATTCTGATTTGTTTGCGGCTAGACCGAAAAAAAGTGTAACAATGAAAAAGCTCCCCAAAAAACCGACATCTTTTTGCAGTGAATTTTGAGGGACACATCTGAACATTTATGAAATTAATTTTTTTTTAATCAATTCAATTTTGAGAATATGCAAACACATTTATAATTTTAACGTTTAAATACCCATTTAGGGTTCCGTACATAAAAAGGTAAAAAAAGGAACTGTTATATGGTCACTCTCTTGTCGGTCTGTCTGTCTGTGTGTCACCACCGATCTTCTCTGAAACTAATGGACCTAGCAAGTTGAAATTTATAGCAGATACTGAGGTCTACAGTCCCTATCAGGTGCATAAAAATCAAGGTTCTGAGTGAAAAAGATGGCAAATTTAGATTTTCAATTAATTCATGATGAACGAATGAATTTAAATTAATTCTCAACTTTTTTTCCGTATTTTTCCTTTACTTGTGCTGCAAGACCTTGCTTTTAAGCAAAATTAACAATTCTAAATCAACCGGAAGTGCCCTATAGGTTTTGGGTCGAAAACCTATATGGTTCCCGTTGACCTAGAATCAAGCACAAATAAAGGAAAAATTATGAAAAATAAAAAAAATACCAAATTAACATTTTTTGAAATTTTTGTCTGTCTATTTGTTCCGGATAATCTCGGTAACGGCTGGACTGATTTAGACAGGACTTTCCCTGACAGATAGCTCATGTAATAAGGAGTAACTTAGACTACTTTTATTTTAGAAATTTTATTTATTTTTATTTTAGAAATTTTAATTCCACGCGGACGAAGTTGCGGGCACAGTTAGTAACAAAATAACATTTTTTACAATTGTTGTCTGTCTGTCTGTTTGTTCCGAATCAACTCGGAAACAGCTGGATCGATTTTGACGGCACCAGGGTCTTTTCACTCCTGCACAAGCTACTTTGCATGAACAAATCGTTGAAATTTTAATTGCGTCAACTTTAACTAGATGACATAATTAAAAAAAAATTAAACATGGCAAAATTATTATTATTTATGTGTTACATGTTATTTCTGTAATGGCGATATTAATCAGAAGTATTAATAAAAAAATAAACATAATTTTTCAAAACCAAAACCCAGCATTATTCGTAACTAATTAAAAAAAAAGGGCACAAAGTTTTATCGAGTGAAAATTTAATTCTTGACCCTGTAATGGAACGTTTTTTCGCCATTTAGCAACTTCTCCACGGCAAACGCCATTTTTTTTTTTATAGTTTTTATTATTTCTTTGGCATTGCATTGCAGTTAATAAATTAATTTATTCCGTTTCCATACACGTAACGTGAATGTGCTCTTTAGTTTTTTGATTTTATCTCCACTACAACCCAAGTTATTTTCCCGGGCTCCGAATTTAATGATTTTATTTGGTGACGCTTGCAAACAATTTTGGACAACAAGAATAAATGTTAAAAGTTCACGTGTTAATTTTTTATTTAATTCCTTGGATCTATGTCATTATTGTTCAAGCAATATTAGTATACAACACTAACAAGTTGTACATTAATATCCCTTGAATAATAGTAAAATGTAAAATAATATTAGAAAGTTAAAAGATGGTGTGAATACACAGCTATGAAAAACATTTTAAACAGTTCTGTCAATTTTCGTCAGATGGCTCTTTAAAGCTTGGTAGACTGATGTCTCTATGTCAGTTCAGTATATACAATGTATTCTGTGGACGGCACTTTCCCTGGCAGATAGCTCATGTAATAAAGAGTAACTTAAACTATTTTTATTGTAGAAATTTTATTCATTTAAAATTCCACGCGGACGACGTCGTGGGCAAAGTTTTACTTACCCTGTCATACTAGCAAACATTCCCCAAAAGCGCAGGTCGCAGACGTTAATTGTTAATGAAATCTTTACTAAAACGCTTTTCGTATTTATTATTTCAGCGCCATCTATTGGTATAATTGGTATAATTTAAACAGATATTATATTTTTTTACCGTGAAATCTTCTTGTATCTTGTATTAACTGATGTTTTTGCTTTCAGTCCCGAGACAATTAAAGCTTCATCGGCCGCAGAACCGGCGGGCTAGCCAGAACCCACGGGTTTGGACCCTCCGCTATGGGTAGGGTCGCACATGTGCTCATGCGTGCGTTTAACTATGGTGTGTCATCTAAGGGCCGTCGAGGTCGCGGTTCGGACCGAGACCCCGACGGCCGTCGACTGTACATTTAGCTACTCGGTGGCTGGGGCGGTGAGAACCGCCCCGGAACGCGGGTGTATATAGTGTACGCGTTGTGTGGGTCTCGCCATGCTCGGAGGCGAGGGCGAACTGGTGTGATTGTTGTTACACTAACTGTGGGTATAGTGTTATCCGGCGGGACCTTCGGCGGTGGGTTCATCGTTTCTAAGTCCTCTTCGTCGACCGGGTCGATGAGGACGTTCCGCGGGGGACGTTTATTGACGTTCGCGTTTGTGTCGGGTTGGTAATTTGCTGCGCTTACCACCAGAGTAATAATAATAATCATGAGATAGTATTTTTTGATGATGATACCTCTTTAATCTTTAAAGTAAACCGACGTTCCTTAAGTTATGACAATGTAAACAATGCTCTATCTACTGTAGTACATTGGTTTAGTGCTAACAATATATGCTAATATATTGTTAGCACTAAACCAATGCTAATATATGCTAAGAATAATAAAAAAAAATATATTAAATTTACAACTTCCAATGTTAAACATGTAAAAACTGATGTACTTTTATCTGAGGAAGCGTTGGACCCTATTGACTCAACTGTATTCCTTGGCATAACTATTGATGCCAAACTGCAATGGGGCCCCCATATTAATAGACTGGCGAGTAGACTTAGCTCAGCAGCTTTCGCGGTCAAAAAAATAAGACAGTTAACTGATGTAGATACGGCTCGCTTGGTATATTTTAGTTATTTTCACAGTATAATGTCTTATGGCATTCTGCTTTGGGGTAACGCGGCCGACATTAATACAATCTTTATCTTACAAAAGAGAGCTATTCGTGCAGTTTACAATCTGGGCCCCAAAGAATCGTTAAGAAACTTGTTTAAAGAGATAAAGGTATTGACTGTTGCTGCTCAATACATTTTTGAAAATGCTTTGTATGTCCATAAAAATAAGGATAAATCTTTAAGACATAATAATGTTCATGATATAAATACTAGGAACAAAAATAAATTGATCCTACCCACAAGTAGACTGCGTAAAACAAGTAAATCTTTTATGGGACAATGTATACGTTACTACAACAAAATTCCAGATAACGTTCAAAATGCATCAATAGCTAAATTTTAAAAAAATAGTAAAAGAACGTTTGTGTGTTAAAGGCTACTATAATATTAATGATTATATAAATGATAACACACTCTGGTAATGAACTGATCGCTCCAGGCTCTTTCAATCGGAGTTCTTATATAGTATTTTTAATGAATTTATGTCAAACTGCTTATTTAAAAAAAAAAAAAGCCCGCTGAGTTTCTTTCGCCGGTTCTTCTCAGTACAGTGGCTTTCTTTTCCGAACCGGTGGTAGTGTTTTGACTATCAATAAGTGAGTGTAATGCTCCTATGTTGAATAAAGACATTTGATTTTGATTTTGATTTTGAGAGGGTTGGGATGATGATGCTCTATCGAAGAACCGTTTGGTCAAATCTTTAAAATGTGCGCGAATCGTTGGGAGTCTACAATCGCTGTGCAGGTCGACGTTGCACTGATACCATTGCGCACCGATTACGCGGCGGATAAACTTATTTTGAACTACTTGCAATTTGTTAATGAGCGTAGGGTTTGTATGTGCGAAGATCATGCATGCGTAGGACATGATTGGCCTTACGCAAGCTTTATATAACAGTAATTTGTGCCTTAAGGGCATTTGACTTTTATTATTCGTTAAATTGTGTGGCCGGCCGGAGACGAACGCGGCTCTATTACGGACTTGATTGATATGCGTAGTGAAAGTCATACGCGAGTCGAAAGTGACTCCTAAATATTTAATTGTTTTCTCCCAGGGGAGCGTTTGGCCATAAAGTGATATTTGCCCCAACTTTCTGTACTGGCGAGGACCTTTGTAACGGTGTCTCGCATGGGTGTTGTGGGTGCTACGCGTGAAGTGAATCGCCACACTTTTTTCTGGATTTATGTCTATTCTCCATTTGCGGAACCAATCGCCGAGGCGGTCGGCGGCGCTTTGGTGTCGAGTTGTTAATTGACTGAGCTTGCGGTCTGAATAAAAGAGCGCCGTGTCATCCGCGAAACGCGCGAGATTGAGATGGAGGTCTTTAGGCATGTCGCTCGTGTAGAACGTAAAGAGCGAAGGTGAGAGGCAGGAGCCTTGTGGTACGCCGGCCGTGAGGCGGCAGCTTGTGGAGAGGGTGCCCTCGACTCGGTATCGAAAAGAGCGGTTCAACAGGAAGGCCCGGACGAGCCTATCTGGCGCTTTGAGTGTGTACAGCTTGTAAAGCGAGCCGTTGCCAGACCTTGTCGAATGCTTTTGCGACATCGAAAAAAGACCCTGTACTGATATGTTTAGGGTGGGATAACTAGGCAAATAATTGTTAATTTACATATAGATCATAAGTGGGCGTTCAGAAGAATAGCTGAGTATTTAAATTTATCTGTTAAGAAAGTTTATAATGCAATTGATCATAAAAAAACTCTGGTATATTGTTAAAAAGAAAGTCTCAAACAAGTTGTTGTCCTATTTATTGTATAATTTCAAAATAAAAATGATTGTGGTGAAGTATCTTATGTAATGTCAAGGACCGTTGGTAGTATTTCAAATTATACCACCACCACTGTATGTATTTATATCTAGTATTATGTCCTTAACATTTCATTATGTCAATTTTTTATGTATGGAGTTACGTTTCTTATACGAATATATGTGTTCTGAGCAGGTATGTTGTTTTGTTTTATAAACAATAACTAATTTAGAAGTGATAACTAATGTAATCAGTTTACAATACATAAATAATACCGCATAAAACTGTATTTTAAATATTAATTAATTTATGCAAAGAAAAAGTCACTTATTCAAGTGTAAATTGGTAACGTGTTTTAGTGCATACATTGTCTAAAATCTCTGTGCATGCAACTAGCAGGAAAAGGTTAAAAAAGTATTATTTTATTTATAAACTTTACAGTACAACTGGTGATAAAACATTAAAGTCTGTTACAGTAATTTAACTCTTTGTTTTACTTAATCATTACTTAATATAAACACAACAAAAATATTGCGAAAGGTACTCCATTCCGCCAGTTGTCCATAAGACTATTATATTTTTTAGGATAAATTTTTAATTTCAGGGCTAGTCTCTGCACTTAAGATGAAACTTGTAGATAAATGAACATAAAGTTTTTTGTTTTGTACCGAAAGTATTTTCTTCTTAAGAACAATGGTGACATCTTTCATTACAAATGTTCATTATTGAGTGTTCTTAGCAAAAGTGTTGTATGCTCTAAAGGATGCACATTATATATAAATATAATGTAGTAATAGAAAAAATGTAGATAGATGTCGAGATTTTTAGGCCGCTAGGTCATCAGACGCTTAGTTTAGTTGGTAAAGCATCTGCGGGTTCAGAATGTGCAGCACCGAAAGTTTTTGTTCCTTTTTCTATAAAAATTTACTATTCTTTGTTATATTAAGTGGTTAATATTCAAAATAAAAAGAAAAAACTTACTGCTGGAATATGCAGCCATGTTTGAAACAACAGATTGTGTTTGTAAGGTTGGTTGTTGAGACATAACTGTTTGAGAATCTGGCACAGCTGTGTTATAATTCCCTCCTGGATTAACCATAGGAACACCAGACAGGAAAGGAGATGGAGGATTTTTTTGCATAGGTCCTTCTTGTGACATTTCAATTTGAGCACCACTCACAAGTGCAACTTTTTCCTCATTTATATTTAGATTTTGTACACCAGCCATAATATTTTCCTGAAGGCTCTGTGATGATGTCTGAAATTAACAAACCATGCATCAAGTTCCAATTTTATGATAGTTATTATTTGATAGGAAGGCATTTTTCAAACAATAAATTGTATCTAATAAAATATATTTTTTCATAATTATACTGGAAATATCATGTTCATCAAAGTTTCAAAACATATATTATATTTATTTTGTTTCATGTTTTTTTTTTCATTGTTTTGCATGCTAAATCTTTATGAAATTCTTATCATATATATTTACATACCAATGGAGTGGTGACATTGTATGATTTTTCGGTAGGGATAGTAGAACCATTCCTTATTGGGATCCTGTGCAAATAACCATACCCAATCCCACATCCAAGACTGCCTTGTCCTCCCCAATTATGGTTTGGTGTTATGTGAACTTCACGACATGTATCATCTGATGTGTTATACACAAACAGTTTCAAAGCTCTCCCTTCATGAGCTTCAATTAATGTAAAGAAATCTTCACTCTCATGCATGATAGAGTCAGCTCCAATTATATAGTCTGTGAAGGGTCTTAATCCAGCTATTTCAGCTGGTGAAGAAGGGTGCACTTCCTGAAGTATTAAAAAAATTGAAGTTTTAGAATTTGTTTCTAATAACGTAATTAAGGTCGTACGATTAAGAAAGCCTACTTACCAAAACATGCCATACATTTTCATTAGCTCCTTCAAAGGAGCAAAATCTTATGCTTACACCAAGAAGTCCTTGTCCTCCCCAATTGGCACTAGGTGTTAAAATTACCTCTCTAACTGATTGTGTTTTGCTGCTATAAATTAGCATCTTAATTGTTTTATCAACATTTTTCTTTAACAATTCCTTCAGAATATCATTATCTTGGTCTAATCTAACATTTTCAATAGCTACAATAAAGTCAAAAAATGGCTCCAAATTGGCTTTTTGTCCAGGGGAACCTTCTTGAACCTGCGAAATTACATCTTAGTTCTTTGATTCCAGTATAACTAATGTCTCAGAATTTTTATATTAATACACACCCGCAAAACATGATACCCTTCTGAACCACCTCCAGGTACTTCAGCACTGTGAGACGAGCCCATTGAAAAGAAATAACGTAATAATCCCTAAGAAATATTCAAAAATATTTTGATTTAATACAAATTTATTGACAGTCGTCAATAAGAATTCTTGACTTTGACATTTACTTTTTTCCGCTACGTACGTAGATTACGTGGCAAGCTGAAATTATTTACTTGTGGTCTTTTGTATGACTAAAATCTAGAAATATAGAATAATTTATGTTTAGAAAAGGAGATTTTCAGTTATATTGTCATTTTTTCATTATGATCCTAAATTTTTAGAATAAATATAGTCTAGAATAACGATAAAAATCAATGGAGTTCTAATTATTCCCTTCTAGTGATATTATATATTATAGAATAGATATCGTGGCTTCTCTTTGGTCACGTTATAATTGTCCCAATTTTTTACGGGACGTCCTTTCTTTAGTTAACGTTAGGTAGGGTGGCATAATCCGGTACCATGGGTCAATAATGTAATAAATGTCAAAAATGTCTCTTCGGAACAAGGTGACTTATATGGCAGTAGTTCGCCCCCGCCCCATAATGACGTACACGAGTCCGGTTTACGCGCACATTGCTCCAAAGCAAATACACCGGCTTCAGGTCATCCAAAATCGAGACAGAAAAATCGTCAGGCAGAGCTACACAGCTGTTGTGTTTTACTCTCATATTTTTCTCCAAATGGGTGAAAAAAGTATAACTTCAAAAACAATTAAACATCTTAAAGAAATTCAATTTATTTCGTTTTTTTCTCTCAGTTTCGTTTAATTTGGGATTATTTTTATGAGTCGAATAGAGATCGTTTAGATCTAATATTATAGTAAATATCAAGCTTGTTTGGGATGGAATCCAATGGTCGCTACGTCGGCAGTTTCTTATAATTTTATCCAATTATTGATCCATGGTTTGCTATAGGAACCCAATTAAAATAATCTAAATCAATAACTTGACATTTTAAAATTTTATAGTGCTACTCTCTTCAGATTATATGAAACAATTATCAGACTTGCAAATAATAACATAATAAAAAAGTCTTATCTCTCGGAAGATTAATAATATATTTTCAGACAGCAGTTATACATCTGTTATGGTTTTGTGTTTCCAGAGTAATAATTTTAAAATGTAAAAATATAATAAATCTACCAGTTCAATTACTATCTTACTTAAGGCTGTGATATGTTATTCTTTGACACTTTTTTGGGATACAGTTTTAACACAATGACACAATATAACATGGCATTTATTAATTTTTATAATTTGACGTAAACAGTTCCTACATAGCCGACATCGACAGGAGTGAGGTGTATATAACGTAACAGGTAAATGTAACATCTCGGTATCTCTAGAGAACAGACTGTACCTGTTATTTTGTAACAAATTGCTCACAATGTCACACGCTTTTGCTTCTAAGGAACCATAGTTAGAAAGAGATAAAAAAACTGTTACACCTTGTCACTGTTGTTACGGAACAGGTCACTCGATTTAACCTATGGCTTTGTTAGAAAGAAAAGTACGGACATTACCATAGAGTTAACATACTGTAACTAATATGAAGCAAATAGTATGAAATAACGTGATTTTGGGTATTTGTCATTTCTATGGACAGGAACAGCAACAGGTTCTCGATTTAACCTAATTTCACTTCTATCTATGCCTCATATCGATATACGCGCAGTTTTGTTATTTTTATATTTCTTTTGTCAACCAAAGACGAGACATCACATTTGGGACGTTTTCTAGGCTTCACTTTGGGCGCGTTAACAACTTATCTGTAGTTTTATAGTTTTTATCATCGGTTCATGTCTATACTTCGGAGAATGTTTGACAGAATATTGTTTCTGTCAAATTGTCAAATTAATGATACCTACTTGATGGTTTTGATGTCAATTGTCATTGTCAATGTCATTATTTGGTTTCTTTCATCTGATTTGCTAATAAATATTAACATCAAAAATCAAAATGTAAGTTGTTTTTCTGTCGTATTTGATTTGATTTGCAGTTTATTGCCTTCACTTAAACTCGTGTTTATTTGAGAATAATAGCAATACGTGCTGGTATATGTGTTGAAATGCACGTAAAAATAGAAATTACACCAATATTTAAGAACGCACAATATGAGAATGGTGTTATGACCTTAATACATATGTTTAAATTTTATCCCTATATTGATTGAACAATTTATGTTATATTTAATTAAGTTTCTTCACAATAACTTAAGATAACTTGAAAATTTACAACTACAATAGTGTCTCAAGCTGATGGAACCCTCTTTTCTTTATAAAGTTGGATCTTTTAATAAGCATAGATAGCCTTGCGTATTATCCATGTATAATTTTGAATGTGTTATTTTGCAAGGATCTGTGGTTTAACAGGGTAATTGTATACAATAAGTCCACTTACGTTTTTCGTATACAAATACTTTTAATTGGAAGAGAAATATTACCGAAACAATAATTATGGAGTTAAATTAGGCAGAGACATTTGTGAAGAAAAAATTAAATCTTTCAGTGCTAAGGAAATTCACCAATCCATTTGCTTTGTTTTTGTATTTTTTTCATAAAAATGATTTTTTTGTGAAAAAAATTTAAGAATGAGAGAATTATTTAATATCAGTAAGTATAGTTAAAATTAGTCCAACAAAGCGAGATGATGTTACTTTTAACTGTAAATCAGTTAGATTTTTCTCTAAATCTAAGTATCTCCGAGTATTTTATTTCGTAATTACTGTTTTGGTAATGTTTCTCTATTGATTAAAAATATTTGTGTGTGAAAATTGCACATTGTAAACAATTATTTTTTCATGCTGTTTTTATTCCCCATTAGTGTAATGTAAAATAAAAAATGAACACAATAAATCCATAAAAAAGAGTGTTAATAATTAATGTGTATTCTTTTGATAAATGTAGGAAAAAAATGACAATTGAATTGTGTCTGTTTTCACTCATTGCAATTTTTTTCAATTAGCCAAGAATATAACTTTTTATAGTTATATGTTACAAAATTATCTAAAGCCAATTATTTAGGTCACTATCTATGTGCAATAATGTTTAAATTTAAACTTTTAGTTGCTGTTACCAAAAAACATTATGTCAGAATGGAAGCAACTTATTACTGAATGGCTTAATGAATATGTATCATTACAAGAAAATGAAATAAAAAGTTTTGCAGCAGAGCATGAGCACAACCATGAGATTGCTACAGCAATATTCAATCTCTTAGATTCTGAGGATCAAGATGAAGTACAATCTAGCAACAAGGATGAAACATTTGAACAGGTTGTCACATTATTATAATTAGATGAAGATTGTCAATAGGTGATCTTCAATTAATGTAGTTTTAAAATTTTAAATATTTTCATATTTTACCATTAGAATATAAACCTACTGGGTTGGTATATAAATGAATAGACAGAAATTTAACATCATGTTTTTCTTGATTACACTTAATTTTACTTTACAGATGTTAGAAAATGTTTGTGTGCAGTTATTTAGTTTCTACAGATCTAAAGAAATTGAGTTACAACGATTTACCTTACAATTTGTTCCAACTTTAATTCACAATTATCTTAGCTCTGTTGCACAAGGCTATACTAAAAATTGTCGGTGCATAGAAACTCTGCTTATTGGTAAGACTGTTTTATTTACTTCATCATTATCTTTAACATTTTACTCTTTAGTAAATGAAGAAAACAGGTTTTTATTCTATACATACATCTTATCCTTTAAACAAGCAATTCTTGTATATATATATAATCGGAATCTCGGAAACAGCTCCAGGGTTTAATTTTTAGAAAATGCCCTTTTATCCCCGTTTTAAGGGAATGAAAAATATCATTTGAATATGACAGTAAATTTCGCTGCAAAAAAAAATGTTGTAATAGCTCGGTCGGTAATCGGGTGGCCCCTAAACAGACGGCCGCGGTTCGTATCACGATCATTTACACACTTATTTTTTTTACTTTTTTTCTATACCAGATCATTTTCTTTATTTTTTTTATTTCCAAAATACATGGTCCTCCAGGTACTATACTTTCATTGTAAAAGATAGTGATTTTTATAGTTACTACAAAATTTATTATGGTTTAATCATAATATTTCCATAACTGGGATATTTATTTCTGAGTCTGTAAGTCTTGTTATAGTACGATATTAAACCATGAACAAATTTAAATACGTACAGACAAGTTTGAAATAAGGTTTTAACACATGAAATTTGTTTTTGGTTCCAGGTCTGTATAATTTTGAAGTTGTTGATGAAAGTGGTAAACCAAAAGTTGTGTCCTTCAGATTGCCATCCTTGGCCCAGTCTTCTATTTATCATGAGGTAAATGTTTAAATGTTCGAAACATTTTCTGGCTACTAGAAATAGAGAACGACAGGATTTTTTGGGATTTCTGCCCAATTAAAAACTCTAGTCCACATTTATTTATTTTTTAATGTATTTACCTTAAATAGGGATAACAGATGTTTAACTTATTACCTTATGCCATTCTCTCTAAGTTAAGTCGGGTGTGGTATTTATTGTGTTGAGTGATAGAGGGGTCCAGAAATGGCTATGGAAAGCATATTTTCCAAACGCGCCAAATGATGTCAGTTTAGTAATACTGACATCTTTTGGCGCGTTTGGAAAAATTTATGAGAGTAAAATTTTTACGATGCGCGTGCACACCGACAGCCAAAACCAACATGAATTTGTATGCAACGCGACCAACTTCATGGTATTACTGTGGCAACCAAGAAAAACTTTTTACACACGCCTACAATTTCAAATTATTTAATCGAACCGTTATCAATTGCATTTAATGTCTTTTTTCACAAACAAAGAGTGTAACTTTTAAAAAAGACTTCTTACGTTCATTATTTGCGGTCAGGTACATACATTTTTTTTACATACCACACTTCGCTTTCGCACACTTCCGCGACCCTGCCAGTGCTGGCCGCCTCAGCAGCCCCCTTCCGGGGATCAACTCCCCTCTCCTCGCTCACCACGTTTCGACCGTGGAGGGTAGGGATAATAGCGCACCGCAATACCGACACTCCTCTCCCCCCGCGGCCCCACCACCACTGCATCAACGGTGCAGCCCCGCCGTGTCGCGGGGGATAGGGAGCGCCGCTAACGCAATACCGACACTCCTCATCCCCCGCGACTCCTCCTCAGTCGCAGAAGACAGGGAGAGTGGCTCCACCTCTACCACCCTTGACCTGTCCCCTGCACCCTCCAGCACGCATCCAGAGTGAGCTCAATGAGCCCACTCGGAGCGGGCCTTAAGAGGGTAAGCGAGCGAGGGACCTGCCCAGTGTGGGTTCCTCATAACTTCACCGCGGGTGACCAAGCCACGGCTACTAAGCCCCTCCAGCACGTCAAGGTGGAAACCCGGTCGGAAGGGGGTTGCTTAGTACCTAAAAAAAAAAAACATTGTCACGTTCTTACTGAAATTGAACCACATATCGTTTTGAAATTACGTTCATTCGCTAAGTAAACAGGGACAATATTCGATACTGTTAGGTGACGAAAGATATTACTTAGAAAAATGCACAAACGGGTTCACCTGATGTTAAGTGATTATGACATGGGCCCCGGATCCTTTCCCTTCACGCCGGTCTTCTGTATGTTCTCATTCAATGTAGGTTGAATAGCATGTGTAAATTATTGGTTTTTTTTTTTCATAAATATAATTTTCGTTACGTATTTGAATGTTACTCGTACAAACACTTAAAAGTATTAAATTATGTAAAAATTATGAAATTCACCATGATATAAAACAAAAAGATTTATTGTATTAAAATAAATATTAGTATTTTATTTCAAAATATTTTAAATTCTTTCAGCCGTTGTCCTTAGGATCTCAATTCCTTACTGAAAGCGCTTTACGAAGATGGGAGGAGTGTAACACCAAACTAGTAAGCTGGGGCCCATTGTCTCAAGTAGAGGCAATTAACGCACAAAATCGATTGAAAGTCATGGCCGCTTTACTTTTCATTTATAACAGACAATTGAGCTTATTACCGAAACTGGCGCTGAGACATTTTTGTATTGCTGCTTCAAGGTACGTAAGTTATCGTAGGGACAAACTATATATTTATTACTAAATATTTATTACTATTACTGGGATATACATCTAAGAAATTAATTTAATCCTAAAGTATGGGAAATCTGTGATAAATCATTACGGATTAGGGCCGCATGGAGCTAGAGAGAAGGTATTTTGCCATAAACTTAAGATGTTTCCTAGGTTTGTCAACATTAAGATCACATGGATTATACAGGATGACTTTTCTAAAGGTGGCCAAATTCACACAGGAGGTTCAGACTCGGTACCTCGGTACTCGATAGTAAATCGTTTTCTTGAAATAAAAACATTTTTTTTTTTTTCAATTAATTCCATTCCCTAAAAAACAGAACTTGTTGACAATGCGGTAGTCATTCATAAATGCGTCGTATACTTTTGAAACGAACTTGTGTGCGTGTTAGTTATGAATGATCGCGCGTAAAATAAATGAGTTGCCCATAAATCACGCACTTTTGAGATAAGTTCAAATTAATTACGAGTGATTTCAAATATTTATCATTTTTTATATAACATTTATGTCTAGAATTTAATAAAAAAATGGATACACTTCAAAAAGCCTACCTGTATATTTATTTTAAATGATTCTTTCAAAATGTATGGGAGAATCGCTTAAGCAGTATGCAGTAAAAATAGGTTTTTCAAAATCTATACATTTTATACAGCGTGTCGTTACCACCGCGACAATAAATGAACACACATATAGAGGATAACTTTTTAAAATTGTATTAAACGTTTACATTCTTTAAACATCAATATTTACCGAGTTATTAAATTTTCCAAAACAAAGAATTTTAGAACACCGTTACGTATGAAAATGTAACGTAAAGCTCATTAGTAAAGGTCACAAAGCATATGAATGGGTTGAATGAATTTAAAAGAGACAACTTTTTATTTTTATTTTTATTACTTAAATTTTTTAATATCATCTATTTTTTTATTAAAATATTGAATTTTTCACCCTAAAAATGGCATTCATTTTATTATTTAAATTTTCAAAAATGGCATCCATTTTATCCGTAACAGGATATATTGCGCCCAGAGCGAGGTGCATCTTTGACATCAAAATTTCCGGATTTGTGCTACTTTCACAGACACTGCACTAGGTCCATAAATAACAAATTTTTTTCGCAGCTTCATTGCAGTTAACCTTTTTTGTAGTAAAATTTTAAAATGTATCGAATTTCTTCATTAGAATCACTCATCTTAACAGTAAGAAAAACAAATGAAAATCACACATTTTCCTAATTTGAGTTTGGAATTATCTTTTATAAAATTTAAACTTTTAAATGATACCAAAACCAGCCAGAGACAAACGATATATAGCCAAAGAGATTATATTATAAGTATACACATACTATTTGCGAAAAGAGTTTTTCCCCAACCTAATATACAGCGTGTCGTTACCATCGCGACAATAAATGAACACGCATATAGGGGATAACTTTTTAAAGTTGTATTAAAATTCTTACATTTAAATTCTTTAAACATCAATATTTACAGAGTTATAAAATTTTCTAAAACAAAGAATTTTAGAACACCCTTACCTATAAAAGCGTAACGTAAAGTTCATTTGTAAAGGTCACAAAGCATATGAATGGGTTGAATGAATTTAAAAGAGACAAAACATACTGTTAGATGGAGAGGCTTGTAATACGACGCTGTGACGTGAGTTGTATAGGATGATGCAAATTTTGTTTCTTTTTACTTAATTAGTTTGTTTGAAAAATATTTTTTTTAATTATGGTTTTTGTTTAACGTTAATATTTTTTATGATTATTGGCAAGTAGGGTTAGACGTGTGTTCATTTATTGTCGCGATGGTAACGACACGCTGTATAAAAAAGAATAGGTGTAACTACGGTGTTAGGGCCACGCAAACGCCTCGGCAGTTGCACGAATGGGCAGACTCGTCCGGGTAAGTACTACAACCTCACAGAAGACCGGCGTCAAGGGTAAACACTTTCGCGATTCGTCGGGTGAGTTAGGTAGCCGGTGCCCAATTTTCAAAACGTTGTCAACGCACCAGCAGCCCTCGGGTGTAACAGGTGTCCATGGGCGGCAGTTTTTATTTAACATCAGGTAAAACGCCTGCTCGCTTGGCAACTTTGCACAAAAAAATGTGTAATAAAAAAAGTAATCAATATAAACGTATGAAATGATTATAATTGTTTTGTTGTAAAAATTTAATGTTAATTTTCCTTTATTAATTTATTTGATTTTGCGATTTATTTTAATCAATTCATTTTCCAGTTAATTAAAATAATAATAATATACAGAAAGATTTTCTAAAATTTGTGATTGCTTTCTCATACTTTATATTTGTTTGTTTTTAAATATTCCTATTATAATATAAAAGTAAAAGACAATCATTGGCTATAAAAGCGATCATCTGTGTACATTTTCAAAAACGATACTATCCTACGGGCTACGGCCCACCACTAATAGGTAATGAATAAAGGTCACGCGGCGCGTCTACAAACTCCGCGAGGTGTGTCGCGCTAAGCGGTGCTACCCGTCCTCCGCTTCATCATACTTCACCACCCAAATAGTTAAAAATTCACTGAATACAGTGCCTTAAAAACACCATAAATTTTTGCAGTAAACTACAATTTTATCTTAGAGTACTTAATGCGGTATCGTTATAATTATGCGTGGGTTAAGATTAAATTAGGTGTACGTTTATCAATTCCTTGATCTCAAACCGTTGGTAGATCCCAGTGATTTCATACTTTTGCTTACAATTACTGTTCATTTGCCAAAATCAGTAGTCTATCAGGTCTTTAATACGTAAGGCATATTGCCTCTGCGGTGGCAAGAGCGAGCATTATCGTTTTAACGATTATCAATAGTCTATGGTGCATATCAGTATAATCAAGATATCATGATAGGACCCCGCAACAGTCTTTACTGTTGCACGAATAGGCAGGTCCGTCCGGAAGAAATACTACGACCTCCCAGTAGATCGACGTGAAGTGGAGTGAGGTAACCGGAGCCGGATTTATTTAAAGGTGGCAACGCATCTGCAACCCTACGGCTATTGCAAATGTGGGCAGTTTGGCATGGGCGGCAGTTTTTACTTAACATTAGGTGAACCGCCAGCTCGATTCCCATCTTCATACATTAAAAAAAATATCAGTCGATCACGCCAAAAAGCCTTTATTAAACAAAATATTGAAAGAATCCTAAACGGCGAAAATTTAAATGAATTGTTTAACCGATGTTGCTGTGCTTCTCTCTTCCATTTTACCACTAGGTATCCTACGGTGGACAACTACCAACATGCGACACCGAGTATCCTAGATATCATGTTATTCAAGGAGGTCTCGCTCGACATCGAGTCGATAGAGACAATCCACGAACTAGATTCCGATCACAGGCCCGTCCTGTGTAAGCTGGGCCAGAACGCCGGCGCGGTCCCTCCGACCAAATCCGTAGTGGACTGGCATCGTCTTGAGGTCAAACTCAAGGCCTTGGACCCCCAGGACTTAATCGAACTACCCGAGACGATATCTACGTTCGATGACGCAAATCGAGCGATAGCAAGTCCCCGAGAAACCATTACTTCCGCAGTCACAGACTCGGAACGGACGGTGAAACTGTCGGGCGACCGACGGTTTAACTTTCCGCCCGACCTAAGACTGCTAATTAGACAGAAAAATGCAGCCAAACGCGCCTTCGACCGATACCGATCGGAATCGAACCGAACCCTACTTCGACGCCTTCAGCTAGAAGTCAAAGATCGTGTATCGGAACACCGACATACAACGTGGGACACTCTCCTAGAGGACATCGAGCCATCGCACACCGCCTACTGGCGGTTGGCCCGCAGTCTGAAAGCAGACCCCCGCGAATCTCTACCGCCATTAATTAGACCTAAGAGCGCTTCAGTAGCCCTAGATGACTCCGAAAAAGCCGAATGCCTTGCGGACAACCTAGAGCAGCAATGTACGCCATCGCGCGAACACACCGATACAGTCCACCTAACGGAGGTGGACCGTGTAATCGAGACTAGGGCTGCGCTTCCACTGGAAGGCGATCCTTTAAGTTCAGTGACCCCCGAAGAGGTCCAAGATATTATTAAAAATTTAAAACCGAAATCCGCCCCGGGCCCAGATAAGATCAGTAACAAAATTCTCAAAGCTCTCCCTGGGCCGCTTATCTGTTTACTGGCGACCATTTTCAACACTACTCTCCAGTTGCTCCTTTCCGGACGACTGGAAACAAGCCACGGTTTCGCAAGCCGAATAAACCAGCCAACCAGCCCTCTAGCTATCGTCCCATCAGCCTCCTCAGTTGCCTGGGGAAGCTCTACGAGCGGCTCTTATTAAACAGGCTCAAAGAGCACGTATTTTCCAACGGCCTTCTGCCCACGGAACAATTCGGCTTTCGGGCAAGAGTGTCTTGTCCCGACCAGTTATACCGCCTAACGGAGCACATCCTAAAAGGCCTAAACCACCCGAAACATATCAGTACAGGGGCTCTTTTCTTCGATGTCGCAAAGGCATTCGACAAGGTCTGGCACAACGGCTTGCATTACAAGCTGTACACACTCAAAGTGCCAGATAGGCTCGTACACACCATCCGGGCCTTTTTGTTGAATCGCTCCTTTCGATATCGAGTCGAGGGCACCCTCTCCACAAGCCGCCGCCTCACGGCCGGCGTTCCACAAGGCCTCTCACCTTTGCTCTTTACGCTCTACACGAGCGACATACCCAAAGACCCCCACGTCAATCTCGCGCTTTTCGAGGATGACACCGCGCTCTTTAATTCAGACCGCAACCTTAGAATACTAACCACTCGACTCCAAAGCGCCGCCGACCGCCTCGGCGATTGGTTCCGCAAATGGAGAATAGAAATAAATCCCGAAAAAAGTGTGGCGATTCACTTCACACGAAGTACTTACCCGTCACATCTTTATAATGGCCCTCGCCAATGCAGAAAGTTGGGGCAAATATCCCTTTATGGCCAACCGCTCCCCTGGGAGAAAAAGGTCAAATACTTAGGAGTCACTTTCGACTCGCGTATGTCATTTACTACGCACATTAATAACGTTCGTAATAGAGCCGCGTTCGTCTCCGGCCGGCTACACAATTTAACTAACGCTAAAAGTAAAATGCCCGTAAGGCACAAATTATTATTATATAAGACGTGCGTACGACCCATTATGTCGTACGCATGCATGATCTTCGCCCACACGCACCCTACTCACTTGTACAAGCTGCAAATAGTACAAAATAAGTTCATCCGCCGTGCAACCGGTGCACAGTGGTATCAACGCAACGTCGATCTGCACAGCGATTGCAGACTCCCGACGATTCGCGAATATTTCAAAGATCTGACAAAACGGTTCTTCGATAGAGCCGAACATCATCCCAACCCTCTGGTGGTAAGCGCAGCAAATTACCAACCCGACACAAACGCGAACGTCAACAAGCGTCGCCCGCGAAACGTCCTCATCGACCCGGTCGAGGAAGGGGACTTAGATACGCCGGACCCACCGCCGGGGGTCCCGCCGGATAACACTACACCCACAGCTAGTGTACCAACAAACACAATAGTTCGCACTCGCCTCCGAGCACGGCGAGACCAACACAACGCGTACACAAGGTACACCCGCGTTCCAGGGCGGTTCTCACCGCCCGCAGCCACCGATTAGCTAAAAACACAGTCGACGGCCATCGGGGTCTCGGTCCGCACCACAACTTCGATGGCCCTTAGATGACATGTCGTAGTTAAACGCACGCATGAGCACATGCGCGGCCCTACCCACAGCGGAGGGCCCAAACCCGTGGGTTCTGACTAGCCCACCGGTTCTGCGTCAGATGAAGCTTTAATAGTCTCGGGACTGAAAGCAAAAACATCAGTTAATACAAGATACAAGATCTTCCATTTTATTTTATAAATTCAAGTAGTTACCTTATTATATCTTAATAGTAAATAACCGATGATGGCAGCAGAATTAATTCTTGTACATGTACTGATGCCACTATTGGAAAAATATTGTGTCATGACCATAGTCCAGTATTTTTCTAGTGTCTAGGTGTTTATATATGTATGATATGTATTGATTTCCAAAAAAGTGTGTTTAAGTATGTTTATCAATTATTTAGTACCCATAGTACAAGTGTTACAAGTTTGGCACTAGAGAACGTTGTGTAAAAATGTGTCTTAAAATATTTATCCATTTATTGAAAAAAAATTGTTAATTTTACTTTTTTCCAATTTAAAGGATAGTCACCCAAGGCTTCCATAAAAAAGTGGGCGCTTTGAAGTCGATACCCCGAATACCGCTGTCGTCCAACTTGCTGCTGGAGATGGTTGAAGGGGCATACTTCGCAATGTTCAATGAGTTTTACACCTTAGCGCTCCAAGCAGTTAACGATATAGACCAAAGGGCACAATACGAGTTATTCCCCGATGTAATGCTGGTCACTAGTGCTGTGATAAATTCCTTGAAAAACAATCCAAGCGGTATGTACTTAATTATAATTATTTTTATAATAATTGCAATAATTTAATGCACCTCTGAACTTAAAGCCATTGGATACTTTATAGGTACTTAAGAAGGGGGATGGGGGTATATTTCCTTCCCGTTCGCGTCGCAATAAAATAAAATTTATCGTTTCCCTCACACATTGATTTTTCAGTAAACGTGGTAGAACAACAACAGCTTACAGAGGACCGGAATTAAGAAAACTTGTTAATTCCTTTTGTTCGGTTAATGGGGTTAGGTATGGTGTTGTGTGTCTATGGGCAGCAGTCTTCACTTCCCGTCACATAAGAAATGTACCTTATGATGCTTTTTTCATTTCACATCACATGTGCAGAACGCGCAAAGCCAACTGCACTGACATGCATTTGATTTTTGCGTAATCTAGCTAGTATCTAGTACAGCGTCATGTTCTATCTACAGGTCAACCATGCGATGGACCTATGGGTATAAGCGTAGCCCTTTCTCCTGCCACAACCACAGTTACCATGTCTAAATCTATGATCACCAATGCGTCCTTCCGTACAAAAAAATTGCCAGGTAAGGAAGTTTTCCTTGTATTTTCATAATACTTTTCATCCTTACTTCCTTACTAATATTATAAAGACGAAAGTTTGTATGTATGGATGGATGTTTGTTACCCTTTCAGGAAAATACTACTGAATGCATTTTAATGAAACTACAATAAATCAGAATAACACATGGGCTATAATTTATATATATATTCTTATGTATATCTGTATTTTTGTCTGAATGTTACGCCTGCAACCTATTCTACGCAGACGTAGTCGCGGGTAGCAGCTAGTAAATTACATTTTATGTTTCTAAAAAGTGTCCATTTGCAAGTATTAAAAATATACAAATTTAGCGTCCGTATATTTGTTTCCACAAAACTCAAAAACTGCCCGATACACTTGAGACTAGATTCTGGTCTCAACAGGAGAGTGTTTTTTATACATTTTTTTATTCCGAAGTTGCAACAAAAACGGAAAAAATGGCACAGCGGAGCATGGCCGTGTTCAACCACTACTAATTTTCATTCACATGTGAAATAAGAAATTATGTCATGGACTATATAATTATGGCCAATAGTAACAGTCCAGTTTTCTGACACTTAAAACCTTGGCAAAGAATATTTTGTGGTGCTGATTTGTATGCTACTTGAAAAAAAAATTTAAATAATGCAGTATTTGTGCTCTATACTGTATCTTAATCACTTTCTTTTTAATAAAGAATAGTAATATGACACAGTTAAAGACTAGTTTAATAATTTTCTAAAGTTTCTACTGTTTATTATATATATTTAAGAGTTTGGTGTTTTAATGTTTTTTAAGTAGAAACTAGAATACTATATACAGAAATCTATTCAGGAGAGTAGCTTTCACTTTTACATCCAAATATCTAAAAGTCGTCAGGAAGATGTTGCACTTAGTAATAAGGCCGTCGTTGTGTAATTTATTTAAAGGTTTTAATATGCATATTTCTTTCGTATATGTATATAAAACTATTTATTTATTAAAATTTACAAGTTGTAATATAATTGTATCCTAAATAAGAAATATTTTAAAAGCAATTAATTTTTTTATTATTATACACAGACGTGATTTTTATGTTATTTTTCTTTGCTCTATACTTGTCCGTTTCAATTACAGATCGAAAAAACGTATCTTTTTTTTAAAGAAGTGAGAAAAATTAATACACCAAAAATAGTGCTCACTCCTTAATAGGTCTTTTTGTTTATTTTATTTTCAGGTACGCTTATATTTCTTTAACACTAAACTTTAGTGATACATCTATATCTTATCAAGTAGAATATAGTTATAAATTAAATTTGTAATAAAATTAATCCTATTGTTTCTTACATGGCCTAAGGATTAATATTTAATTTTTTTGGATTTAATAAAATAAACCACTTTCGGGTTTTATCAACTGACCTTCCAAATATTTTACTATACTTTCTCATTAAAAATGCTGGTCAGATGCCATCTGCGGTATTCCACACGCTCTGTCTTGTCTGATAGACCTTGCGATGGTGTTTAGCTATCGCAATATAGTTATTCATCTCCCAATATAGTGAAGACACCGTGACGCAGTTGCCAAGGTATTGGCTTCGGCGCCGGGGGCCGTAGGTTCGACACGCGAAACCACTGTGTGATTTTTTTGAATGTGGGTGTTTGTCCACGTGAAATTTATGTCTGTAAAACGTCCTTACAACACAGGATAATGTTATCCCACTGTAAGTACGGGGCAATGTTTTCGACGGGAAGATTGCAATAGATCTTTATAGGTCGCAGTGGTCGTCGGAACTTCGGGGATAACCAACGCCTTCCATAACAAATAATAATAAATAATATTAATTCCAGACGATATTCCTATACAGCCGGGCCAGGCGGTAACAGCGGAGTCGGCAGATGTTCTGACCTCCATCACCGAAGAGGGCGAGGCTGAACATGCGCCCATTCAGCGAGGTGGGGCGGTGCGCAACTCCAAGCCCAAATTGGGCTCCTTTCCGGTGCTGGGCAAGAAGAGCAAGGACAGCAAAGAGAAACCAGCCCCCGCTAGCGACAAGAAGCTCTCGTCCAAAGATCCCTCTAAAGGCATTTGGAACTCTCTTAGCAGCGGCGCTGGCGATATGGTGGACTCGCAGAAGGCCTTAGACAGTCCGTTTGACGCTAACACCGGCACTAAAGACGAGCTTTCATTGAACTTGATGCATAACAGCGCAGACAATTCAGATAGCCGCTCTCAGGTCACTACTGATTCACTGGATTTGGAAGCGCCAAGTTCCCGATTCGCCGCCATGCAAGTTAGCTCCGTCTAACTGTTCTGATCGTATAAAGTATAGATGTTGTTCTCGCATAACGCTTATAGTTACCTTAAAACATGGTGTTCGTTAATATATTCATGTATAACATAGAAGTAACTGTGAAGTTTCAATATTACTTCTTGGTCTATTTACTTAATATTGATTTTGTTTTAATTTATAATTTTCGTTAAATTTAAAATCGTTGGTATTTCACGGTACTTAAGGATCGTTTTAAAATGTTATCTAAAAATATTTTGTGTCCTGCCAATTTATGCATCATTCCATATAGTATTGTTATTAAAATAATTATTATTTCATATAAAACAATTTCTTGTTAAACAAGTATATTATTTGTTGCCTTCCTCAAATTATGTTTTCGCTTTCTCTACTAAATATATAGTTAAATTCTATTATAATTATAATATTCTAATATATATAGTTAAATTTCCAATGTAATCTGAATAGAAACTAAACAAAAGAATTTATACTGCGATGTTTTAATAAAGATTAAGAATGTCCATACTACACAGTCACACAAAATTCCAAATTCATTTTACAATCGATTTCTAGTTTTAATACTATAGATATTGACATCCAACATCGTGTATTGTAACCTATCTCCTTCCACACTTTCTTACAACATGATTTTCACACCCTTCCTACCCCTCTGTACGATCGGACGAACCCAATCCTCGTGAGCAGTTGTGCGATTAAAATTTCCCGAAAATGATACGACTTTTAATGAAATCAAATCAAATCATGTATTCATCGAAATAAGAAATATACATTTCATTTATCGATAGTCATTTTTTAAATCTACCACCGTTCCGTAATGAGGTTCCTCTAACGGAGAAGAAACAGCCGAAAGAAACTCCGTAGGTATCCTCTTTTTTAGAAAGATGTTTCAAAGCGATGTGTCAAAGTCCTGTTTCAAGCAATTAAATGATTGTAGGTTGCACTTGACGTGTCTTAATCCCGCGACAATATTTACCTTTAATGTTTATTTCTCCTAAAGGACTCTGGGATTTGCATTTTCAATGAGCTATTAAGAACTTCACTGGCTAGAGAAAATAATATATTGCTAGTTAAGCGCTAGTTAAGGTCTCTGATTATGATCGTTAAAGAACTGAAAACAGCCTAGCGCTAGACTGCTATCACACCTGATGGTAAGTAGCTATACAGCGTGTCGTTACCACCGCGACAATAAATGAACACACATATAGAGGATAACTTTTTAAAATTGTATTAAACATTTACATTCTTTAAACATCAATATTTACCGGGTTATTAAATTTTCCAAAACAAACAATTTTAGAACAACCTTACGTATAAAACTGTAACGTAAAGTTCATTTGTAAAGGTCACAAAGCATATGAATGGGTTGAATGAATTTAAAAGAGACAAAACATACTGTTAGAAGGAGACACGCTGTATATACATAGCTCAGTAAGAGCCTATTTACTCTTACTTTGGACATACCCACGTTATATTCGAACGCAGAGACACGAGGGCAAATTGTTCCATTTCTTTGCTGTACACAAAATGACGGAGGCGGACATAGCAAAACGTTTACTTTGAGTGCGTGGAATGTCATCAACGAAAGGACTAAACCGTACCTAGCCTCTAGTTGTTCAAAGTTGGAGAGAGGAGGGAGAAATTCATTCGTGTAATTCCGATTAAGCAACAATTGTGATCCGTGTGAACTGTGTGATCCGTAGAAGAACTAGAGTTACCGACATAGCAGAGTGCGTCAGCAGGCTGAAGTGGCAGTGTGCAGGGTACATAGCTCGAAGAACCGATGGCCGCTGGGGCAAAAAGGTTCTCGAGTGGAGACCATTTGACGGCAAGCGCAGCGTAGGAAGGCCTCCCACAGGGTGGACGAACGACCTAGCCAAGATCGCAGGGACGCGTTGGATGCAGGCCGCTAACGACCGGTCGAAGTTGAAGTCAATGGGGGATGCCTATGTTCAGCATTCGACGTCCTACGGCTGATATGATGATGATGATGATGAACAACTGTGAGGTTTTATTTAATGCTGCAGGTTTTAATGCTGAGAATTAAGAGCGTTGCCGTTAAAACAGTATAAGTACTGGAGTGTCCCAGAAGTAAAGAGACAAGTCAATGAAATTTTTTTAATGAAAAATTTTATGTCTAATGAATAATAAAATTACAATCTATATCAAAGGACAATTGCGAAAGTTGAGAGAAATCTCAAGAGTCTAAAAATAGTTACAGATTTTTATTAATCGCTTCATAATACACTCTCGAAGATAAGTGCGTTCATAGACCGTGTACAGATAAATGGTTCGGAAACATTGCCGTTTTCGTCTATAGCTTGCCAAACCAGATACTTAAAAAATTTTGCTATTGTTTTAACTTTTTCGCTGTAATCCACTTCACCACGACTGCGTAGCCTAAATATTGCTTCCCAGAAATATCATAGGTGTTATCATATTATCAATTGTGAGATTTTTTCCAAAGTTTTTTGATAAACTCGACGGCAACCTCCCTTAGCAGGTCTTCTTGGTCTTTCACGTACTTTGGACAATTTCACAAAAGCCTTCCTGTCCAGATCTTGAACTTTAATTAAGGTGACCAACTGTACTCATTTACTGAATTTTGTATTCTTTTTTCGCAAACCGTACCTTTTTCAAATCCTGTACTCTGAAAGTACTCATTTGTATAATTTTATACTTTTTATATATAGGAGGGGGTGGTAATTCGGAACCCTAGTTTGTTTTTTGAGTATTTTAAGAAAACTATTTGACTAATCATCACAAAATTGTCTCTTTATATTTAAAAACTTTTATTTTATATTAGAAACTAATTTTTAAAATAAAATCACTCATTATAGGAAAAATTGCTTTCTTGGAAAAATACAAAAAATGTGTTCAAAGATCTGGTGCTGGTATTATGGAAACCGAGTTCCAAATTACAAGTATTAAATAAATTTACATACAAAAATCAAGTTTCAGCCTGTTGATCGTTGGAGTAATTTTCAGAGCAGAAAATGCAACAAGTGATTTGTGGGCTGGGCATGCGTGGTAACATTTTCTGACATGACAGTGACACCTGAAGGAACAGAAGATTCCGAAGAGGTCGAATCCTCGCTGTTTAGAGGAGTTCTAGAAGACTTTGCTACCCACCACTACGCCCACGAGCGCCTCCCCAATATCTTCCCCGACTTCTTCCTCTCTGCGCTATGGACTTGATTGACTACTCAAGTTGCTGTTTGTAAGGAGACCCGGTCAATAAAGTAATGCGGGTAATTTGGAACCCCGGTTCCATATTACCTGCACCTATCGGGTTCCAAAATTAAAACCTTACTTTGTTACCAAATAATCAAGAAAACAAAAACTAGTTCAAATAAATCTTAAAACTTACCTCTGACAACGTAAACTTATGCGTATATAGTTCCTGTAACACATACTGTATTTACTTTTAGACAGAAACAAAAGTTTTGACAGTATTAGGAAATAAAAGTAAAATACATTTATAGGTGACATAAAATTTCAACTTCTTATAATAGGTCCAAATTCGACGACAGTGGAACTAATACGTTCAATGACATCAGTTCGACATAATTTTCAACAAGTTTTCAACAGATTTCGTTCTGTTCCTGGGATATTAAGGAGTTCCAAATTATCAGCAGGTTCCAAATTATCAGCAGGTTCCAAATTACCACCTCTTCCCTATACCTATCTCTCCAATGTTTGTGTACGTAATCCCCAGGCTGATCGATGTGCAGTATGTTCGGCATCCTTGACAGTCCTTAGAAGTTGTAGTATATTAAACGATTTCATACTGCAATGTAAATCAAGATTTAATGAAACTGACCGTTTTGGAAGATTCCAATCATGGAATAAAAAATGAATTTTTAAAAGAAGTAAATTTTTTTTTATAAATTAGCTATGAATAAATCGAAGAATGGATAGTGAACTTTAGAGCATCAAAGTGTTTCAAATGGACTATTCTAAATAGTAAAATTGAATGGAAAGAAGTTTCTTCCGCAGTCGAATTTGTAATGAAGGAAGTAAAAGATTTGCCAATTTTCTCATTGAAGAAATTGGAAGTTTTATATTTAAACGAAGAAAAATTTAAGAAATTGAACGACGAGAAAATAGAACTTTACAAAAGATGGGTAGAAATCTTTCGGCATTTTAGAGTAGAACATATTTTTTTTATTTATTTATACTTTATTGCAACCTTTAAATAAAAAGGATTACAAAGGGCTTACTTAATGCCTTTTGACATTCTCTCCCAGTCAACCCGGGGCGTGGTGAGAAATCGTGGTAGGTGCAATTATTACATTATTGTATATATTATATTTATATGTAGAGCCGTGATAGCTCAGTGTCCGGGCGCTCGCCTTTAATTCAATATACTCGAGCAACCTGAGTTCGATCCCCGGTGCCGGCACCAATGAAGTTTTTAACTTTAAGTGCTGTCTTAACACGTGCTCCGCGGTGAAGGAAAACATCGTGAGGAAACCTGCATATTTTCGAAATAATAACAAAAAAATATTTCGAAGATATGTGAAGTCCGCCAATCCGCAGTGGGACCGCGTGGTGGACTATGCCCTGATACCCTCTATATAGAGGAGGCCTTTGCCCAGCAGTGGGACATGTATAGGCTGTTACTTTTATATTTATATGTATTTCTATATAATTACTTAAATATAATAATAATAATTATCTTTATTCACATAGACGCTTGCGCGTTCTTATGAAACGTCAAAATTTTACAAGAAATTAACACGTTCGTAAGTTACCACCGGTTCGGAAAGCAGTTTCTGTTGAGAAGAAACCGGCAAGAAACTCAACAGTTGCTCTACATACATAAAATATAAAAAGAAAACATGTATATATATATATATATATATATATATATATATATATATATATATATATACACACACACATAAATGTATATTCTAAGTCAACATTCTAAGTTATAAGGGGCCATTTAGAAATAAATCACGGGCCAAACGTTTGAATGATTTCCTATTAGG